TAAAAAAAGAAAAAATAGCATTGTCATAATTACTTTAAGACATAATGAATATAATTGAAAGAAACTTTAGTTTATTGACTAGCAAGAATGAAAGAGAAAGTGAAATGAATGAAAGAGTGATCACATGACTAGGGGACTCTCTAATGGAGAGTATGGCTTAATTAAGAGGATGACCATGGATGGTAATGTGCATCCTAAGCCTTTTACCAGCAAAGTAATGGCATTCCATGGGACGGTCTACCATGATAAAGTAACAGTTTATTACTTATCTTATAATGACCCCATGGTATTAATATCTGAATGCTGAAGCACTTTTAAGCTCATCCAATAGAATCTAGATTGATTAACATGTCTTCTTTGATGATGTCCCCACCTCTAGCAGCAGATATGTTAATTGTGGCCATATTCATTTGCCTTGAGTCAAACAGAAAGCATGGTATCCTTTGATGATGAACCCCCCCCCCCCNAAAGCATGGTATCCTTTGATGATGAACCCCCCCCCCCCCCCCCCCCCCTTATAGGAACTCATACGCCAATCATTGGCAGGCACATCAGTTCCACTAACCCGACCCCTAAAAATAATGTCATTTGGTTCATCCTTGATTCTGGCAGGCTGCACACTCAACTAAACAATTGAGTAATTGTGTTATTAGAGGCAGTTTAACTTGCCTTCTCAGCACTCAGTGTGTGCACTGCAGCTTGTCAGTACAGGCTTGATAGCAGTACCCCAAAGTCCCTGTTATCATCATTAACCTGACTGACAACAGTGAGTCTTCGCTTTTATTAATGACTTTGTCCTTTAGGAACACTCCTGGGGAAAGCCAAAACTGAAATACTGAATGCAAGGAAGAGAAGTTTGTACTTGTGACTAAATCATTGCATAATATAGCTACACTTAAAATCATTATAGAGTTGCATTGAAATAAGAGCATACTAGCTATTAAAAGGTTTCAGTGGTATAAGTAGTAACTACTTTTCTTAAAATGTACAATGTCATGGAATCTTTATGCATTTGATATTACAGCAAAATTGAAACCTGACTTCCTCCCAAATACTGGAAACTGAAAACAAAGACAGTTTCACTAAAGTTTCACTCATTTGCTACCTGGCAATTTCTAAAATCTTCATAATAACTGTGATCATGGGCGTCGCTGTCATTAAATCTGAGGGGGACGTGACCCCCTCACATTTCATAATTATTCATATTAATTATAATTATTATAATTAATATGATTAATTATCACATAATTATTGGACCCCCCCCCCGCATTTAACATAAAATATTAGTTTTATGCCAGTGTGTCCCCCCCCACATTAATAATGCTTCTGACGCCCCTGACTGTGATGTTAATATTTGATTCATAATATTCATATCAGAGCGGCACAGTGGTTAGCACTATCACCTCGCACCTTTGGGACCAGGGTTCAAGTCTCCGCTGTGGCTCCATGCGTGTGGAGTTTGCATGTTCTCCCCGTGTCGTCGTGGGGTTTCCTCTGAGTGCTCCTGTTTTTCCCCCCCACCATCCAAAAACATGCTGAGGTTGATTGGAGTTACCAAATTGCCCATAGGTGTGAGTGAATGGTGTGTGAGCGTGCCCTGGGATTGGTTGATGCCCCATCCTGGGTTGTTCCCTGCCTTGTGCCCATAGGCTCAAGCAGTTACAAAAAAATGAATGGATGAATCCCATCTATGGGTGGCTGGTGGACTCTAGATTGTATTCATTTATCGGAAAAAAAGGATCTTGTCAGGTGTGTACTGAGCTGTTCACCGCAGCAGAAGTGAAATACGTAGAAATTCCTGCAGAACATTCCAGTAGAGCTCTACTGGACCTTATCAGCTCATTTTAACTGAGATTTTGGACAGCTTTACTCACCAGAAGATCTATTGGTTTGGGTCAGAAATAATGGAGGTATTGTTTTAGTTCCTCAGTTCTTGAGTAACGCAGATTCATTCTGCTGTCCAAAAAACTCATGCAAAACCAAAGGCCCCACAAACATGACTTCCAATGTGGAAGTAGCTACTGTACCTAACAACAGGTACAGCCATAATATTAAAGACGCTGCTGTTATACTGTATGAAGCCAGCATCAGCACTGCCCACACTGACACAGGATGTCAGAAGTGTTACTACACTTATATTTTGATAGTATACTTTACTGCAACCTGTTGTTCAATAGTTCTGGTGATTGCGATCAGGCAAATGCAATGTTGGGGCTCTACGGAGTCAATACTGCTTGTTAATAAATAAAGCTTTATAATGAATTTTATGAATGTAGGCGCTTCGCTTCTCGTGTTTCAAATGAAAGCGCTGTGACTCGATCAGCTCCGACGTCGGAAGCCGCTTCTGCCGTTACAGCGACTCGGTGACATTCGGCCGAAAACCACAGACCACCGTCCGCCCTAACGGACCCGGTTTAAACACCTAACTGCCCCCGTTGGTCCGTTATTCCTTTAACCCGGTAACGACTTCGCAAGACTGAACATGAAATGTCGTTAGTAAACTAATTACCTGAAGGCAAATAAGTCGCTTCCTGTAAGGACAGTTATACCAAGTGGACCCCTTTCAAAGTGAACTAATCTGACTAGAAAATACCGCCTTAAACGAACTAGTGCGGACACGCCTGAAGGTGTAAAATTAACCGATGGGATCAGCGCTCCTAATGCGGCCCGTTTCATTAATGAAACACGCATTTCAGCCCTAATGTCCCGCCTCTCTGTGCTCGTATTAACCTCATACAGCACCCGGCCTGCTGAATAAAACATTACTCGTCTGAGCTATTTTAAATGCTGCAAACACGTCTTAAACAAAAAGTGAACTTTATAAAAAAAAAACTTATACACATGTGCACAAGTGTCGCAGTTCACCTGAACGGGGTAAAATGAAAACTTATAGCTATAAGAAAATAGGAATAAATGACTCACATCCATAACGTGGTCTCTGCATGTTCGTGCTTTCTTCATGGTACATCCTGCTTCAGATCCTCCAGTTTTGTAAGCTTGAAATGTATGAGATCGGCTAGCGAGCTTAACTGCCGAACTTTCTGCGATCTGCTGATGCTCAGGTAGCACGTTTCAAAGCGAAGCCTCCCGAAACGTGCCTCCTATAATACGGATGTTCAGATCCTGTTTCAGCACGTAACTAATCTACAGTGCCGCTACGGTTACCTTCTAGCCCCTGCTCCACTATTCACCTTTGCCTCACTCATGACAAAGTCAATAGGCTGCATTACCCCCACGCCCCCCCTTCTCTCTCTCTCTCTCTCTCTCTCTCTCTCTCTCTCTCTAACAAACTCACTACTTTCTGCGCTTAGGTGAGCAGCCCCAGCTCCACCTGGCGGTCGGACGCCATAATTAATGGACCCCCGAACGTGCATTTAAAAGGACCTCTCACTCACCCACAGGTCTTTTGTTTTACAATGATCTTTGACAGTTTCACTCTAGCAATGGGAGTGGGAGGCCTACTTCTATTTCTCAATGTTTATTTGATTGAATGAATGTAACATTGTTTTATAACACTCAGGGCAGTTCTTGGTTGTGATTGTCTATCTATCTATCTATCTATCTATCTATCTATCTATCTATCTATCTATCTATCTATCTATCTATCTATCTATCTGTCTATCTAATCAGTGCAAAATGCGTTGGAATTTTTCTTTTTCTTTTCAGGGTGATGGGTTAGAAATAGAGCAAAGCAGCTATGATTCAAATAATTAGCAGAACCCCTGTATGGCTGACAGCAAATGGCATCTGCTATCCATTCACTGTGTTATGGACACATTGGGCGGGTTGTCCGGGGAAATTTCCCGCTAAGGGAGGTCAGAGTTGTTTGAGGAGGGTGGAGAGCAGAGGGGATGCAGACGTCCAGCTGGTGGAGGTGGGCTGGGTGAAGAATGGCGAGAGATGAAACTGAACTCTAGACAGAGCAGGTTTCATTATAAAAAGTTAGCAGGTAAGCAGCATACCTGATTCTGGATTATTTATGTGATTTGGAATAAACTGAAAATTGTTCCACTCTCCCAGTGGAATTTTTTTTACTGGATTTTCCACTAGGGTGCGGTTATGTAGTTGTGTGCAAGGTGTGACATTTCAGTTGCCGGGAATGAATGACGTTAATGCCACACACACACACACACACACATTCATACAGTATATATGTGTATTATAAGATAAGCAATATGGAAATTAAAGGTATATCATTATAATACATATGTCTTAAAACTACGTAGGTCATGTTAAGTGGAAAGCATACAAAATGCCGATTTTGGTTCATTTGTGAACAGGGCCCCAAAAAGGGCTGGAAGTTGGGATGAAAATTTTCAACATAATTGAGTTGGTCTGAGTTGGGGGCCCAATATGATATGCTCTTCATGCCCAAAATCTATAATGGCACCCCTCTTTGTGAAACTTATAAATGCAGCTTTTGCTGCCATTTTAAAATATGGTGAATGATAAATTTGTTTGTAATAACACTACTGTTCTGCAGTAACTCTCCTGTGGGATCAGACCAGATGTGCTAGCCTTCGCTCCCCAAGTGCATCACTGAGCCTTGGGCACCCATGAGCTTATCAGCGGTTCACCGGTTGGCCTTCCTTGGACCACGTTTGGTAGGTACTGACCACTGCATACCAGGAACATTCCACAAGACCTGCTGTATTGAAGATGCTCTAACCTAGTCGTCTAGCCATGACAATTTGGCCCTTGTCAAGGTCGCTCAGATCCTTACACTTGCCCATTTTTTCTAATTCCAACATATCAACTTCCAGAACTGACTTTTCACTTTCCTGATGTTTCCTTGACAGGTGCCATTGTATGAATATAATCAATGTTATTCTCTTCACCTGTCAGTGGTTTTAATGTCATAATTGACAGGTGTATGTATGCAGTGGGCTATCCGCCTTACTTGGATGTCTATTAGGACAAATGAAATGTGTTAATGTAACAGAAAAAAATACTGCATGAGCAATAGAGAATGCAACTTTATTTTGTACACACAACTGCTTTGAAATAATACCACGAAGAGTTTTTTGGCAAATAATTTTATACCCACTTCTAATACTTTATAGAACTGTTCTGTACATCATGTCCATCCCTTGGCTGGCATGCTCTCTCACAAACACACATTCTTTTCAACAGAGAACCAAGACAGAGAAGCTAACAGGAATGAAACATTCACATTTTATCAAATTAACATTTTTTTTCCGCTGTTCGAAAGAGCAAGGAAACACGTACACAGAACACCAACTAAAACAGGTACTGTAAACGCATGCACGGCTTAAGAATCTGGGGAGAATGCCTTCAGTTATTTCAGTGTAAGTACAGATGAAGACTGATGGAGCCCTGTGAGGTCTGCAGTTCCACGAGTTACCCATAGCTTATAAATAAATGAGAGTACAAATCAATAAATGAAACCCTTGAATAAAGCAGCCCCCAATTGAAATTATTGATGGCGTGGTATTTTTTTGTATGACACACACTGTCTTGCAGGCTTCGTTCCTATGTAAACTAGGAGTACAGTACAGTCACGTCTGAGATGGGATTTGAGCTTTTTGTGAAACAAAAGTGGGTCTGCTGTAGCTGTGTAAACCAACATTGCTTGCAGCACTACAACAGCAAACAAATATTTGATGTTACTTGGGTCAAAATACAACAGCTTTTTGGTCATTGCATACAAGTCTTATTATATTGAAATATGTTAAAATTATTTAAATGTGTTTATTCAAGCAATCCGTTATTAAAGAAAACACATGACTCATGCTCCATGTAGTTTTATATCTGTAGCAAAAGGTACCTTATGTGGTGAACTACAATTTTTATAGATGAGGTATTATTTGCAAAGAGCCTGTAATCTAAGAGGCAGTATGTAGTCTTGTGGTTCGGGATGCTACTTTTAAGATGCAGCATAGTGAAGGAACAGTACCCCTGAACTTCTGTCTGTAAACAGCTAGTTAGACAGCTGTGCATTGTTCTAGTGCTGTAATATTGCAAGAGGGTTTCATCAATGTTCTTTAAAGCAGTGTTTCCCAACCCAGTCCTTGGGGGAACACCGGCCAGTCCACGTTTTTGCTTCCTCTCAGCTCCCAGCGCACCTGTGCCAGGTATTCGGTGTTCCTGATTGGCTGGGAGCTGGGAGGGAGCAAAAACATGGACTGTCCGAGGTCCCCAAAGAACTGGGTTGGGAAACATTGCTTTAAAGCGTATAAGGAAATTATGTCTGACAGTAACCCTTATTGCGAGCTTCTATTTAATAAAAAAATGAAATACACAAATGCTGACACTGTTATGACTGATTAATGATGATTATACCACAGTTAGTTCCGACCAAGAAATCTGATTAGACAAGAGGTCACAGTACAACTGCACTCGGACATTTCATATCAGCTGTATCACTCCGGTTTTCAGGTGTATCTAAAAACAATTACTTATTTATTTCAATTGTGCAAAGTAGTTGGGCGGCAAGTGAGCTGTGTTGTGATGGAATGTTCATGTTGCTTGGCAGCAATCAACAGTTGGCTGGTGGGAACAATTTGTTTCTTATTTGTGGTGGCCCGTAAATGTTTAAATAAATAATCAAGCAAAGTATTATCTGTTATGTCTTATAACTGTTATCTTAGAAACGAGACTCGATGAACTGTTGTATAAAAGTAATAGTATACTCAAAGTCGTGTGGTTGTACTCCAATATATCATGGCTGTGATTATCTTTGGCTTACGACTGAATCACAGCCATGATATATTGGAGTACAACCGCACTCCCTCTTGTATGTTATTGCTTAACCGAACATGGGATCAGTACATAACTAACACTTTCTGATTACTGCATATGTTAATTAACAGAGTACTACTACATCATTTGTGCCCCCTCAAGTGAAGTGTTACCTGCTTACCTACTAATTTAGGTCAGCTTCCTTGTCTTTTAACGAGACACGTGTCTGTCCAGACACATAGTTTTATGAACACTGTCAAAATCCGAGGAGAAAGACATTTTACTGAAGGAGATAGATGTTTACAAACATGTTGTAAAATGTTGCAGCAGTGGAGACTGACATGACAGGACCCCACCTTTCACAGCATGTGCCACTGGACAAAACTAAGGTCCTTTGTGTACAGCATCAATTCATCAGGAAGAGAAACAAGAAAAGAAAATGTATTGTTATTCCAAAATTGTTAAATGAAAGCCAACAAAAACAGGAAATCTTGTTACAACACAGAAATATGTAACCCAACATTTCACTATGCATCTACACATTAATAATACTTGAAATATAATATGTTTTTAATGTAAACTGGTTTTAATGGCTTAAAATACCTATCTTCCTATTGCTTAATGTAAAATGCTCAAAATGCTAGCACACATCAATAATGTAACATGGAACCAGTTCACACTCACATAGCTGTGATAAGCTATATCACAGTCTTCTTCATTCAACCGAGCTGGTCTGCTGTTGCAGCCAGGCAATAGCCAAGTAGTAAAATAACGGATTTGAATCCCCCCCCCCCAGCATTCAGGCACCTAGCCAGGTAGTTAAAGAAATGGAGTGTTGGCGGATCCCCCTACAAAATTTATTTCTACCTACAGGCCTATTTTGCAGCAAATGCAATTCTGATATTTTGTCAGATTCAGAAAAGGAAAGCGAGCTGCTTTCGATCAGAATAAATTATCATAGCTTATGTGGATAAACAGCAGCAGCTTCTATGACAATGCACGGGAAGCTCAGTATGGTCTGTTTTCAAGTTCTTTTCAGGCACCGCTGCTGTCCCAGCTGCTGAGTAGCCAATGCAGTCACTAGCACATTTGAAGAAGAGGGAAAGCATGTTATCAGTATGGAATAGCCATGGATTCGTCGGAACCACACTATGACGCACTGATTGCTAAGTGCTGCACTGGCTGTGTGGCAACAAAATGAAAACATCAATAAAGAGGAAATAAATAAGCAGGTATTTAGTGACACGGATACTGCCATGCTTCAGGTCATTCTGCCGCTCCATGCCATCTCCGCTGCAGAGAGAGGGCCCGTCTTCACAGCCGGTAGCAGGTTACATGAGGACGTTGGGTCTGGTGTCTGGCAGCCGCAGCCCCACCAAGCCCCCGCAGACCAGCACGGAGGAGGCCAGCAGGATGGGGATGGCTTTGGTGATGCCCACGAGTGACCCGAAAATCAGGTTCCCAAGCACTGCTGCAAGCTTACACAGCGCATTACAGAATCCAAATCCAGTCCCCCTACCACACAAAAGGAGAGAAGGTGAGAGTCGTACCCAGTCTTTGGAAGAAAATAGCTTTTTATTTACAGGCAGCCCCCAGGTTATGACGAAGATCCGTTCCCTATGTCTGTCTTTAAGTCAAATTTGTAGGTGAGTTGGAACCGGTACATATATGGTTCTGATTTAGCGTCATTTAGTCAAATGTTTGTTTTAGTATGTGTTTTACTTTTCGGTGCAAATAAAAAAGTTGAGAAACACTTACAAATACACTAAAACATCTATATTAATAATAATAATGATAATATAGTAATAATAAAAGTAACTACATATCGTACTGTATTGTACCTCAAGTCCAGGAACCGCTGAAGTGTCACAAAGCAGTGTGTGTGTTTGTTATTACGAACCATGTATTTTTTTTATATAATAGGCTTTATGGCATTCTGTAAGTCAGATGTAATTAACCCAGGGACTGCCTGTATATCAAGTATATCAGAGAGCTGTGAATCTCAAAAAGCAGCTGTTGGATTTGGCAATATCATTATAAATCAGACGGTCCTGATTCTCAAGTTTCTTCGATACTGTTAAATGTTACATACATGTTATGCAAAACCTGATTCTGGAAAAAAGAAAAATGAGACAACGTATGTGTTGTATGTTGGCACGGGTGCATGTAGACAGACCTCCTATCTGTAGGGTAAAGCTCCACAGTGACCACATCCAATGAGTTCCAGGCAGAGATGCTTAGACCATTGTAGAGGCATAACATGCCAATCATCATGGACTCACTGGTCCCGAACCAGAGGAAGAAACAACTGATTCCTGACAGGATCATAGAGCCACCTGTCGACAGCAGAGAAAAAGCCATTACAGAAATCAGGAACAGGAACGGAAACTGGGTTTTGACATCATAGTTCCTGCATTTGGTAAAAATTTTAGTTGAACCTGTTAATATGTAAATGCCCATGTTATGTTATTCCTTGCTTCTGTTTTGATTTTGGATTATTTTATTGCTCTGAAAGTCATGCTGTAGGAAACTACACCCATTTCTGAGCCTGTTTCTCAGTATAGTTCAGCCAATACATGCCTTCTGACAGGAAGTTCTCCTGGTGCAATGAGGCAGAAAACTGCTTCACAGCCAAAAGGAGGTAACATGAAACTTAAAGCTGCCACATATTAACATTCTGGAAAAGTGTCTATAATCTCTAAATGTGAAAAATAGCCATCCGAGGGTGGGGGGTGATGCTTGGATCATATCCCATATGGGAACAGCCTAGACGGGATGCTAGCCTATCGAAACATCACAGTCTTACTGGAAGTGATGGTAACACTGTGTTTTTGGTCATTTATAAACACATTCATGACAAATAATAATGCATTCATGAAGATTATAAACATGGCTGTAAACATTCATCAAAAGGCATACACATTATAGCTATGTTTATCATGCACTATGAATGCTCTATGTGGCCTTCATCTATAATGTACTATAGTTACCTTTACAATGCATTATAATGGTCAGTATAAACATTAAGGATGCATCTATACTGCATTGTAAAGGTATCTATAGTGCATTATAGATGAGAGATTCATAAGGCAGTCATAATGCATAATAAACATGGCTATAATGCGTTATGCCTTTTAATAAATATTTGTAGCCATGGTTATAATGCTTTATGAATGTATTATAATGCATTATGAATGTGTTTGAAAATTACTACATGGCCTTAAGTAAACTGTTACCGAAGTGACTGTTGTAATTAGGTTTATGCCATTTATTATGTCATATGTTAGAGATGGGTTTATTAAAACACTCCTATGAAATTTTATTTATAGTATAGAAGATGGATGGATGGATGGATGGATGAATGGATGGGATACCGCAGCAATTGAAAGTAGATGTAGTGGGTTGGACTGTTTAGAATCATAGAGGGAGATATGCTGCAGTGTTGCTTTCCACCACTCATACCGCACATTTGCATAGGCCCCTAAGCTTTACTGGCCCCCAGTTGGCTACAAACTGTCAGAACACTAAGTGAGGCAGGGACCCAAAGTGACTTTTTCAGTGGGGTTCCAGAAACACAATGGTGACACAATCACTACAGCTTGCTTAGGACATAACTGGATGTCCTTTCTTCAGGCAATAATACCTGGTTTTACAGTTTATTCTCCACCATCCATACTCCAGCACAGCAGATGGCGCTGTGCACCTTTTAAAAATGTCAAAACCATAAAGATGATGAAGAAGAAGTGAAAACAGGCATGGATATTTTTTGGATCCCATTTTATCTGCATATGCAAGATTATCGTGTTTAATTACCTGTTAATGGAATCTGATGATTATATGAGCAGAAGCTCATTACCAGAATAATTCAGAAATAGTATCATATTTTCATAAATTTTGTAATTTTTGCCATAGCTGAGGCTGAGTATTCAATACTCTGGGCAGCCTGGTGACTCAGCGGGTAGTAAAGCTGGGCATTCAAATCGCAGCTCTGCTGGAGTTTGCATGTTCCGCCTGTGACGTGCGGGTTCTCACCAGCTGCTCTGGTTTCCTCCCACATGTTCTTAGGCTAAGCAGCATCTTTAAATTTCCCACAGTGTAGACCTGCATGTATGTGCCCTGAGATTGAAGCATCAAACCAGCTCGTTCCTCAGACTTTTGCTCCCTTCCGCCTGAAAAAGGCTTCAGGCTCCCCATCAATTCTGACCAGGATAATTGGTTGGATGGATATACTAACCTCAATGTAAAGTCAACGTGTCTGAAACGTTTACCAGGTACAGAAAAAAAGAAAAATAAACTCTTTTCATAATGGTAATAAACTCAAAGTTGCATAACAATGTAAGGAAATGCTCATGTAATGGGGTGTGTGTTTAAATGAAACTGAAATTTCACTGATAAGCTTCTTCGTGCCATTGTCCTTTAGTTTTTGCAACTACTGTACATTCATTGCTTTTTTATCATAGTAATAGTAATTTGGAGATGTCATTCATATGACAAATGATACAACTTGTCCAGCAGAAATTCATAGGTTCTAAAAGAAAAATATGTTTAAATCAAGGAAAATATAAACTGCATATACATATAAACATAAACACATGCACTGCAACATTATAAGAAATATTGGACACTCGGTATTGCAAGTCTCTCCATTTATCAATATAGAAGCTATGGACGTGAAAGCGTGAAGCCTGGTAAAGGGTGATACACAAAAAGCCAAGCATAAACCAATATGCAGCTGCTTTTCTAAGCTGATCACATTACAAGCAGCCAAGAGAGTGAAACACACCCACCACCTGCAGAGCTCATGAAGCTTACCTAACATGGTCAGGCGGCCTATTTTGTCCATGAGCAGTGCAGATACTATATTTCCTGGTAGAACAGCTAACGTTCCCAGAAAGTTGACAAAATAGACCCAGTAGGCACTGTAGTCATCGTCAAATGTCATCTGACAGCCCGTCTTGTTGTGATGGAAGGTGCTGTTAATCACCTCTGTGTTAATCAGCTTGCTGTCATCAATATCTATAATGAAGCAGGAAAAAAGAGGAAATAGATTAAATGACTCATAAGAGCATTCTGTTATACTGTACTTGATCTGCACATTAGGGAAACAAAATGGTGAGTGAGCAGGGAATTACTTTCAGTGTTTGATATGCAATAATGCCTTGTCGATCCATTCATGTGCAAAGTTTCACTGACAGCTGCTGTCAACACTCACAGTCAATATAGTACAGCAATAGTTTTGTAGATATATAGTAAAGTAGAATCGTAAAATGGCCAAGGACCAGCATTGAGCTGCCAGACTTGCCTGAGTTGTAGAAAAAGCCTTCGATAAAAGTGCAGTTCTTGAAGTAGGACCCTACAGATGTGACATCATCAAAGTAGCAGTTTCGGAAGGTGGAGTCAATGAATGTGACCGACTTGAACTTCATGCTGATGAATCTATGGGATGATATTAAGGGATTTAATACAGGCCAGTACATTCACTGTTAGGGTGAGAAAAAGCTGAGTCAGAAAAAGCACAAAAGAAATGGTAAAGTACAATCTGGACTGGATGCCAGCCCACAGCGTCTAATAATGGTCATTTTGAATCACCAATATACCATAGTGGCATATTTTGGTTGTGAAAGGACATGGAATCACATAACTCATTTGGGAAATTGCACAGGTACAGCTAGGCATGAATTCACCGGCAAATCTCTGGAATAATAATGCAGTAGCATCATGCCACAATGATTAATGGTGGAATGAGTCACGGGAAGCATGTATTGATTTAAATTAACATATCTTTATTCTAAACAATACGGGTGTATATATAGAGTAAACAATAGAGTGCTATATATATGTATATACATCTATAGCACACACTTCTAGACCCTTCTGAAATACATCAGCCATTACTGTCTGATTTCTTTCTTTTTTTTTCCTTTTTATGGCTCATTCTGTGAACCAATAGTGCAGTATTATTATTTTATTGGATTATTTGCTTGCCCTGATGATGAATGTTTATATATTGACTTGATGCATACCGCCTACAGGAAAATACAGGCTGCACAGCTACAGCATGCTAATATGCTTTGCTGTCAGACCTTGTGGAGACCTGAGAAATGCCTAAGTGTCTAAAGATGAACCAGACAAAATAAATATTTTAAGTTTGTGGCCTGCGGTTCCCACCTGTCATTGATGAACATCCCATTGGTGTGAATCTGGTTCTCCAGGGTGAAGTTGAATGTGAAATCCTCTATGCGCTCATTGTTGTGGGTCTTCACTTTGGATGCATACTCATCTGCCTGTAGGTGCTTGATGACATCTGGAAACCAGACAGACAGGCCATAGAACCTAGAGCCCAAAATAAGAAAAAAAACAAGCATAGTCTGGGGTTAAAATGGGCGAAACCACTCAGATTGGCCTGATAATATCTGATAACGATAATAAACAACTTTGTTACTAGTTTATGTATTTACTATATTGTACTTTTTATTTTTATTTTAGATTGTACTTTCTATTTATAAAAAAGTTTATTGTAGCCGAGGTGTGTAGCAGGCTGTACCATCTAGCTTTGTGTCAGTACACTCTGTGATGCTCATACAACAACCAATCACCTAACAACACATTTTTCAGAATGTAACCCTGTCATTAAGAGACACATGACTGTATACACTAAACCCGAACAGTGCACACAAATCGTGTTACCTAGGTAAAAAATAAAAACAATAAATCATTAACAATCATTTTTAATTCATGAATCTTTTTTTTCTTATTGCGCTCTAGAGCAACACATGTACACACAGGTATATGCACATACATGCAGCATCATGTGTGATTCTGCAGGTTAGACCTCTGTGTCTATGATAGGAAGGTTGCTTGCTTGACTCCTGCAGTCAATGGTGTATTCATATCACCGCTGGGCCTGGCAGCAAGACCCTTAACCCCCCCCCAAAATGCTGCAGGGGTGCCAGATAAATGGCTGCAGTCTGACCCTAAGTTTCATTCCTACCTCTATATGTGTTTGTCTCAAAGGAGAGCAAGAGGAGAATAAATTCTTATATACTAGTACAAACCTTGAATAAAATATATCCATATCCAATAGGGGTGTAGAAATGCATTAATGTATCGTGATGAATTAATAATTTAAGGTGGCGATTCAATGTATCAGTTTGTTAAATATACATAATCCTATTTTTGTGTTGTATGCTCATGTGCTCCAAAGTAGCAGTGCCAGTATGCAAATGTCTGAAACATAGGATGGGAGGGGAAGGTTAATTAATATTCATAAAAGAGGTGCTACCTGATGATCTCTGTGTTACGATACTTTTGAGAAATGTTTCTGTTTTGCAGTGCATAAAGTTGTTCTTTTTGCTAGATACGGTAGCAATAGTCAAGACCCTGAGGTAGATAATTAGCTAGCTATGTAAAAAGTAATGTTAGCCTTAGAGATGCACAACTCATTTATCAAAATAGTTATATATGCCATCGAGTAATGCTGTCTTCCACTTACGTTGGAGGTCAGAAGTTGGAGCTGGGAATGACATCACACCCTAGTTAACCACATTCCAGTACAAGTCAGATTTAAACAGAGGTGGAAATTTCAGGTCCATGAAGTAAAAATCCAGACCAAGATTTTGTTTCAACTATCCAGTCAAGTACTCTGTGACTCTTTATACTCAACTGACTGGTTGAAACAAAAACTTGGTGTGGATCTTTACTTTCTGGACCTGAAATTTCTACTACTGGATTTAAGGTACCTCAGTTTAAATGGCCTTTATCTTCATTCACTTAATTACATTTAGCCCAGACTACCTTAAATCCGACAAGTTACACTGTTAAGCAAGAAATCCTGCTTTCCAAAACAGGCCACAGTTGTAGCCAAGTTCCTTGTTAGACATTGTAAGAAATACTAGTTGATAACAAGGCATTAAGCGGCATTTTACGCATACAAACACCCTAGCAACAAGTCAACAGGTAGCGTTTGTTAAGTACTGTCTGTTTGACTAATTTAATGACACACAAATGATATCTAAGTGCAAATAAGCAGTATATAACTACATCTTTCACTTCTGAAATGGCAAAGCCATCTTGAATTTTGAGACTGGGGTTGCAGAGGTTCCTCAAACTTTCTGAGTTCTGACTTCAGGGGGCAGTCCAGTTGAAATTTCTGCCTAGGAACTTGGAAATTCTGACTTCCCAGTTCAAATGGAATGAAGCACAAGATATTGCCATCAAATTTCTTTGTAGAATAAATGCAGCCGTTAAATGAATTGGAAGCATCTTTACAGCACAAATGTGCGTCCACCACAGAACTGCAAAGGCACCAGCTTTTAAGTTCCATCTACTGTTTAGCTATCAGAAGAGACATGATGAGATATTGAACTCTGAGCCGTTCAATGTCAACATTAAAGCGTGTCTGATTAAAAGGTTCTGAAAGTTGCTTTTATTTATGGCAGTGTCGTTTCCATCCATGACGAGGGAGCCTTTGATCTGCTGATGAAAACACACCGACAGAAAGGGTAGGCCGGCTCAGAGACGGCTCCCTTTCACTGCAGCCCACAGCAAGGTACACAGGATGTACAAGGGCTGATGACAGGAACCCCCTTTGGGCCACGTAAGCAGGATCAAAACTGGGAATCTATTTCAACACATTGCATTCATCTATTGAGCTGTGAGATCACATGTCCATGCTTCACATATTATTCGCTAATTAATCAAGTATACTTAAGATGAGTGCAAAACCATATTGACACTGACTGGGCTTTTCCTTTAGTGGGATAGATAAAAACAATATCATATTATGCCCTCAATTTATCAACATCACCACCTTCATCATGACCATCATCATCACTATATTATTATTGTTGTTGATGTTAATAATAATAATAATAATAATAATACCAACAACATTAATAATAATTATAATGTTATTGTGATGCACTGATTCACATTCACGTTTTCACTGTGGTGTTTCACCTCTCTTGTGTTCATTTAGCCTTAAAAACAGAGAGCTTGAGATGTGTAAAGGTCGGCACATTCATCTCCTGTGGGCCCAGGTCAGCCCAGAGGCATCAGGTAAATCAAGATTGAATTCCATTCACCAGACAGTTGATATGATGGAAAATGTGCCTTAAGACAAATGCTGCAGAAAGTGTCGTCTCTTTGCTGATATTTTGGCATTTTCAGCAAATATGATTGGAACAGCTGACTGCTATCAATTTCAACTACCTTCCATTCATTGCCAGCCAGGATGTGGTATTGTAATACTACTGTTTGAATGGGAAAACCATCTAAAGTGCTTTTCAAGTGCAGAATTTTTATACCCATCAACAAATTCATGCAACCTTGTCGGCTTAACATCCAGTTCCTGTACTAAACAGTCAGATGTAAAATCATTTGTCTGTCTTTTTGTCTTTCCTGGGTGAAGTAAAAAAAGATTGCAGGTGAGTACAATTAGGTTCTGTAATAAAATATTGTTTTAAGATGTAATTTTGAATGTAAGTAAAGCTAAAAATCACCTTAGTGGCTTGTCCAATCAAAACATCACTATGATTAGGTTCACACCAACTGGCAGCCAAGCTTCTGTGATACCAGCCCTTCAGACAATCCACACATTTGTTATTTGACTGATTTTCACGGCATAGTCAGAATCTGACCATCCACAGCATGAGTTCTGTGTCAGCAGCCCATTTGCCTGATCTGATCATCCCAGATTTCCCTCTGACCATTCAGTAAATTTACATACAGTATCACATGATCTTTTCACCTTTCTTTCTACCCACTCCTTTTGGAACATAGTGTCATTTCACGACCTTGACGATATGTTGAGGGACCTTTTCATTGCCCATAAAGACAAATAATCAAGGAGCCCTCTTACACACACCGATTACACCAATTGCACAAAGAAATCTAAACCATTGATGTGTACTGTAATAATAAACTGACAAAGACCCACAGTAGAATATTTAATCTTTTCTCTTCATGTACTGTACTCTGGTAAATGAGGAGCTACTGTCAAATATATATATATATAAATATGCTAAATATGTGCATGTGTTGTTAATGGGATCATTCAGTTGTCTTTATAATACAACGACACATACAGTGGATTTACTGTAGGTCCATACACCATTATTGAATTTGCAGGTGTTTGCACGTATTCAGGTCACTCAAGGGATGATTTCAGAAAAGGAAGATCAATGTCTTGTAATAGTCCAGCCAATGCCCAGACCTCAGTCTGAGAGAGAACCTGCAGAATGGCTTAAAGACGACTGTGCACAGGAGATCCCCAGGCTATTTGTTGGAGCTTAAATTTTGCAAGGAAATGGGATAGAAAGTTTATGCATGCTATGAGGTTTATATCTAAAGACTTACTGCTGTAATAAAAGCAAAAGATGATTCCACAAAGGATTACTTGTGGAGGGGTAGGTTTTTTTAATGTCCTTGTCAGGGTCAGCTCCTGTTGTCTCAGTCTTTTGTGTCCCTTCCCTGTTTGGCCAGCAGGTGTCGCTGGCCATCCTGTCCCTTCTGTCAGTCTTTGTGATTTCTTCTGCTCCCCATCAACTGCATGGTTCAACATGTTGAGCATGCGTCTACCTGCACATCCCTTTCTTGCGTGTTCGAATCCCACTTCCTCTGTTTTTGCATTTTGTTCCCTAGTGTTTCATTTCTATGAGTTTTTCTAGTTCCTGTGTCTTGTGATTTGTACTTGGTTTTGGTTTCATGCTTTGTGCCCATGCTTGTGTTTCTACCTGCCTGTTATTCCCCTAGTGTAGATTCTGTTTCCTTGTTTCTGTCAGTGTCTTAGTTTTCCCCTCCCAGTCCCTGAGTTAATTATTAATTCCACCTGTTGCCTGTTTTCTTGTGCCTGCTCTTGTGTGTTTTCCTGATTGCTCGTTGTCCTGCACCCTCCCGATTGGTTAATTGTCTATGTCTCACTCCTGCTGTCTCGTTACCCAGTTCAGTTTTCGTATTTAAGTTCCTGCCTGAGTTCAGTTCCCCAGTGGTTCATTGTTGTTTTGTTGTTTGCATGAAGTTTGTCTGCTCCGTTATTTGTAGCATGTCTACCCTTTGTTGCCCTGACCCGATTGAAAATTAGTCTTTGCTTATACATTTTAGTTCTGACCCCTCAAGGTCTTTTTTTGTTTGTAGTGTTTTCTGTTTTGTCCAAGAAACCCCTTCTGTTCCTGTGAGCCACAAGTGGGTCGTCCACATTTCTGTTCAGCCTGCATCATGCCTTGCCATTGCCCCAAATCCACCCGGATCCTTCACAGTCCTAATATTTCTATTATTCATCTATTGGTTTTTCTTGTTTCTTTTAAATATGTCTTACATGGTTTCATCATGCATCATTTCATCATGCATCATGAAAACTTCCGGGGTGTGTACACTTGCATGTGTTTGTGTAGCATGAATGGTGCTGGGTGCTGGGATAGTTTCAAATGGTTTCTTAAGATTCCTGTATGATAGTTCCATTCATCTGTCCCTCTTCTATAATTGCTTAACCAAATACCCACACACAGTGACCCTAATCAAAACAACAGGACACCATGGATAGGATGCCGGCCCAGCAAAGACACACCAACTCACTTAAATACATGTTTTTTTGGGTCGTTGGAGGAAAAGTAGCCAAAATAGGGAGAGCACAGACTGAAGATTGTACCAAATCGTGAGTATATACCAAGAAATATGAATCTCCAATTCTACCCACTGCATCGCCATACCAGCCTACACTAGACATGTTTAGATATTATTCTTGAAATGAAAATGAATTACATTATGTAATAGCCCATAACTGATGTATTCACTTAAAATCATGTGTGTAATAATTCTCTTGCCTTTGATGAAGCTTACCCAAAAGACAGAGTGAACCATACAATAGCAAGCTTTATTGTGTTGTCTTTCACTGGGTAGTTGAAGCACCTCATAAAGGTGAACCAGATCTGCAAAGAAAAACAAAGCACAGACAGGGGACTGGATATTAGTATATCTAATGGCATAGCCTCAGCCTCAGTGGGTCCATAGCTCAATGAACTGACCAGATATCAGCAATGGACTAGAGGAAGACCTGCAGCCACAGCAACATTAAGAACTTAGTGAAGATCAAGAAGCTGGTTCTGGTGTGTAAATGATAAGGGCTCAACCATGACTCACCCCTTGCAACTCGGCTTTAGTCCTGAACAGGACCTTGGAGATGGGGTTCCCCGTCTCAGATTGCATCTCCACCAGCTCATCAATCTGCTTCGGGATCTTGATTCTGTTCACCTGCATTGAAATGCACCTGTCTGCCATCGAAGCAAGCAAATGATCACCGTTCGATACTGAATCTTTCTGGGTTCACACTGAATACTTTGAGTTTTTATTCCACAACCCCCAAACTTTTATGACAGTAGCAAACCAGTATTCATCCGGTCCGTTTAATGTCGCGGAAAGAATATGACTTGATAAAAGCCAATATGATACAGCCCCAGGAATAAAGGTCCTTTTAATGGCCAAGACATTAGAAATTAGTGCGCATGAGAGTCGTCTTGGATTTTAAGATATTCGGCAAAGACCAATGCAACAATATTGACAATGTTAGTCAGTTATTATTGTCCTTTGCTTCCCTGTTATGTCACAAATACTACAGGAGATGTTTACTTTTGTATAGCCAAGTTTAGCTTGTGGGAGTTGTACTTAAAAGCATTCTGAGGGCAAAATGAAAAATGACTGGTTCAGAGAGACAACCAATCAGGCTGTATAGGAGGTAGGTACAAGCAACTAAAGGAGGCCAGACCAAGCTATCTGATTGGTTATCTCTCTGAACCAATCATCAGGTGGCAAGGGTCCAACCGAGGCTTTACTACCTCATCACCTACAGACCAACTTCTATCGGTCAATGACAGAGAGCCTCCTGACTGCTGCACAGTGTGGTTCACCAGCTGTGAACAGGAAGGACCTGCAACGGGTGGTGAGGGCGGCAGAGCGTGCCATCGGCACTACACCGCCTCCCCTCAGAGACACCGGCTGACTTCAAAAGAAAGCCAGTTGCATTTCAAAGGATCCTACGCACCCTGGACATCACCTGTTCTCTACACTGCCCTCTGGAAAAAGATAGAGAACAATTAGCACCAAAACCAACAGGTTAAAAAACAGCTTCTTTCCACAGGCAGTCAAATGCAGAACCCCTCCTCCCCCTCCCTCGGACTGAGACATAATGACCCCCCACCCCAAGAACTGGAAATTCATTAACTCCCTTAAACACTCTTATTTCTCACTTGCACTTTATGTTACTATGATTTTGTACTAGTACTTCGGTACATGTTACCTCACTTTGTTATGTTATTTATGTTTGTTCATATTTATGCTTACATTTGTTATGTCATTTTCTATGCTGACAATCCTAAAGCTGCTAAACGGTATTTTCTTGTTTTTTAAAAACAATGACAATAAAGATCTATTCTATTCTGTTCTATTCTAGTTTTCGTTCTGCCCTCAGAACTCCTTCTGTGTAAGTAAAACTCCCGTCAGCCTGCGAGTGAGAACTCGTCCAGTCCCAGGGCCCTTAAGCTGGGAGGAAGTCAGCGGGGACTCACTGTAAAAACTTTTTCCGGCTGCCCACGTGCCCTCATGTTAGTGTCATGGATCTGCTTGAGGATCATCCAGGCCTCATCATGCTTCCCCACCTAAAACATGTTTGGAGGGAGGGGGGGGGATAAGGTTGGGGAGAATCAGGCTGAATATCATCGATTCCCTGTTACACTGAAAGGAGATGAGATGGTAAAAATACTGAGTTAGGAGAGTCACTCCCTGGCGGCTAGCTAGCTGTAGCTGTCCACAAGGATTTGTAATAGCCAATGGCACATATTTTTTATGTAATGTTCTTTTTAACCTTTTTTCATCTGCAGCTTGTTTGTATAAAACCAAAAGAACTTTTCTCTGTAGCAAAAAAGAAAAGTAGATCATGGTGTTTCCCACCTCATCCTCACTTAATCTTTACCTCGAGATAGAACCTGGGGCTTTCCGGCATGAAGGTGAGGGCGACGACGGCAAAGACGCAGGGCAGGGCGCAGACGACCACGAACACCCTCCAGCTGTGGAACTGGTAGGCCGAGCCCATGCTGAAGCTCCACCCTGTGGCATGAAACCAGGGCGATAAGGTGCTGGCAAGGTTGGCCGTTGTAGAACAGAAGTATTTTGTCACAGCACTTCAGAGAGCATGGATGGGTAATGCACACAGGCTGAGCATTAATGTCACATGGCACATGGAAAACACACTGACATCATGTCAAGTCAGTTCTGAGCACTAGAGTGTCTGCAGCAAATAAAGCTCAGTGGCTCTGAACAGGACTGTGAACGCAGTTTTGGTTTTGCCAGGCACTTTGGCAAAGGGAGGAGGAGGAAATCGCCAACACACTGAGAGGACTTGCTGTGAAGGTGATTCTGGCTTAGAATAAAATGTTCTAATCTAAAAGCAAAAATGCACAGGAGCCTGTAGTAAAGCAGCACAAAGAATAGGAGCCAGTCAATGTAAAGTGAGAAAAAAAACAAAAAGAAGACGGTTCTTAAGGAGCTGTAAATATCACACAGTGATATAGGGTTAGACTGTATATACAGGGTGTTCAAAGTTTCTGGGGCTGGAACTTCTAAACGTTTCCCAAAACCTATAAGCAAGCCTTCAAATGGTGCTGTGTGACCATCTCTAGATGTTCTTACACTATGTGGCTGAGAGCAGGTGTAATGGTAGGGGAGAGGGTCCCCGTTCAGGACCCTCCAAACTTATGAAATTGTGTCCCACTAATTAGGGAAAGGGCTGAAGAATCACGGAAAACAAATGAAATTCAAGTTGTGATCGAAATCCAGTCCAAATATACCAATGTCACAAAGTTCATATGGGTCATACAGAGTTCATATGGGTCATACAGAGTAAACATCCAAATTCAAAATATAAGACAAAGTATGAGAAATAGAGCAAATGGAAGGACAACTTCATTGTAAGAGCCACATTTGGTATAGTGACGTATGATAAGGAATAACATTTGGGAAGGTTTTGCTTTTAGGCAGAATTGATTTGTTTGTAATGTTTTACTGTTTAGCACTAATTTAAGAATAATGTAGCAGTATTGCATTATTGTGATAAAAGACGCTTTTATTTTGCAAAATACTTTTATTTTGAAATGGTCCTTTATGGATGTAACAATCAGTTGCTCTCAGTTGGAGTTAGTGGTTGCAGGAGCAACACAGTTTTTTTGACCAGTGGAAGAAGAAATAATCTGTAATTATTTTTTGTTTAGTAAAGTTTTTTTAATGGAAATAGGAAATAGACTGATTGCTTACCAAAATATTAACACACTCATGAAACCATACATTCCATAGCATATTACACTCAATACTCCACAAGGAGGCACCAGAAAGAAGGTGCTTTTATACAATACCAATTATTTTACAGGTGTGCTTAAGGGAGGCCTGACTAAATGGGGCTGGGTGGACATTTGGGGTGATGCTTGTGTGACGGCAGGATCTCAAACATAAATGTATTTTATGTGTCCATCAGCATTTGGTACAGTACAATCTTCATGCTTCCTGCATTATCCAGTATTTTGACATTATTGTTATTAGGTTTCCTGTCCCCATGGTTGGGGGTAAATAGGGTAACATAGACAAGATGACTTAGACTTGCTGAAGTCTTTCAATCAAAATGATGTCATACTTGTCTGTAGATACTTGTCTGTAGATACTGTTCTGTTCGAAAACACATTAAGTTAAAGTGTCCCTGCTATCTTGCTCCAGGCCTGTGATAGGGTAATTAATTTCCCCAGTGAGAAAATGAAAGAGTGGCCATGGATGAATATAATGGCTTTAGTGGTGCAGCAGGACCCCTGCAATGCTCTCTGACACCACTCATGTGCAAAATCTCAGATTTAACAATTAACAATGAAATTTACACCGCTAGAATTTACCCAATTACAGTAAAACCGCCTAAAATCAGGATACGGTATGCCCAAGCAGCTGCAAAAGGTTACAGCATCATTAGAGAGTAACTGAGTCTAGGTTGGTCTTAGCCAGGAATGTGGCAAAAATCATGCCAAGATCAAAGGAACTCCCCGAGTTTCTTAGAGAAAGAAAATGGCTGTAAAATGCATTTTCTTTGCTGTTTGCTAAATCAAATGACCTTTATTTAACAGTAATGTTGAAATGATAATAAAGTGTTACTGTGTCCAAAAATGTGAAATAAGACAATATGTTCTGTTTACTTTAAGCAGTATTTTATTTATCATAAAAGATTCTAAGCTGCTATACTTCTTCAATTGGATTGTCATTCCTTGTAATTTTTTATCAGGTCTATATGGATTTTTATATCTGCACTGCAATGACATTTAACAGAACACACCCTGAAATAACGTTATGCCATTGTACGTATAAAATACAGTCAAGCTAGCAAAATGTTTTGGTGTTACTGCAACTACAAGTAGTGTGACTCTTCTAGCTATTCCAACCAACACAGGACACCTCCTATACCACAGTGCCCATTGTCTACTGTTGCTGAACTATGCTGAACCAAATCAATCCACACCTGATTGTGTGGCAATAAAACATCTTGAGTTTTGTATCATTTTGACATTGTACACTGTAATAAACTGGGCTGAATGGATCACAGCTGTAAAACAGTTTATATACACTGACTAGCAGCTTCTAAAACCTTTAGTGTATTAAGATGTATTGCAGTGTCTTGTCTGAGGCTTGGACTGGTTCTGCTCGGTCTATGTGCCTGTGGTAATGGCATCCTGTTGCTCTACATTTTGAGGAGGCTGCACCATTTAATCCTTGTTCACATAAGAGAGTCTTGTTCTTCCAATAAAGAGATAATAATCCAGGAAAGAGCCAATAGTAATTAAGGAAAAAGTGTTTACTTAGCATGTCCTGCACTTGCAATGAAGTATTGTGGTGGTACGTGTGGCAGTAAGTGTGTATTCTTTTTGTTGTACTTGAACAATGGTTGATGGGAAAGATGAGGGTCATTAGGCTGGTATTGAGAGGATCAGTGTATGTTGGTGTTTGTGTCAGAGTGTGTGTGTCTCTAGGTATGTGTGTGTGGGTGTGAAGATTCATGTGGGTGGATTTGTACTGGGAGTGTTGGTGGTTAGTGGTAGGTAGCATGCCGCTGGTCTAGGAGCTTGTGTAATCACCCAGAGAATGGGATTTGCTGATAGTCCACGTGTAGATCCAGAGAATCTCCGCTTTAATTGCCTTTTTTCATGAAATGTAATGGAGAGCCCCCAAGGGCAACTGTTTAAACCATGCTGTCGAAAATCACATTATGCGGATTAATGTACACATGCGAATGAGTGTGCGGAGGACAGAGAGAGCCAGCTGAGATTTATGGACCTGCAATGCACCAATACAGTCCTTGATCACGACCCTCTGAATAAAGCCCACAGCGACTGCATAGAATACAAAAAGCACCATTGGAAAAAACACAGTTGTACGCTGTCTGCTTTGGCAGCACAAAAAAAAGCTCTGGAGACGAAAGACTGGTGCCTCAGACAGTTTTGGGGACGCAGGCAGTAAATTTATCCATTGAGTTTTTCAGAGAGCTGTTAAACCTCATCGATCAACCTCAATTACAAGCCAAGGCTCTTAATAGCACAGAGAGGGAAAAAATATAGGAAGGTTTTTCTTTCTTTTGCTAAATTTGAATTGTAACATAACAGTGTCATTCACAGGCCAGATCTCCTCCATATGAAGCTGTATCAGAATGATAATGAATATTTGCTGAAAAGTTTACCGATCGAGTATACAAAAGAATTAGGGCTTTGTTTTATTGTGCTTTTTAAATAAATGAGCTAATCTCATCTTTGAGACCTTTCATAAATTACAGCACTACGTCATCTGGTCGATTCTTGGTGGGAAGGCATTGTACTGAAAATATCCTGATGCCTGGCCTTCAATAAGGAATAAGCTCCGCCTCTTCAGGTTGGCAGTCTTTTAGGGAAAAGACTCCACTCAGGACATCACACATAATTCAATGCAACATCTGTTACTGGTACAAATGAATTCCTCTTCAGTTCTTTAATCTCTATAGCAGCCGTGCTGACAAACATTTTTTTCCATCATTTATTGTTACTTTTTTGATTATTTCTTGCATATACATTTTATCCCATTGGTTGCATTATTTACAAGAGAATTGCATTATGTGTTTGCTAAGACATTATACCAACACCAAAAAACAAATGATATTATCATGTTATCAAGTAATGGTGTAGAGGTTAGCTAATGTTTCTTCTAACTGCTTTTTCTTTAGTTAACTTCTTGCAACAAACAATAATAACTAATAGTAAGGAGTAAAGTGATAGTAAGGTAATAGTTAATCGTCTGTAAACACTACTGACCACATGGTTAATATTATAAACCACAATACTCCCACAATACTCATGGCGTCATTGGGAGCAATGGGCTTTAGGCAGGGCTACTGACCGTAGTGCGGGATAATGGCCCAGGCCATAGCGGAGGCGTAGATGCCCCCGATCATCCAGAACATGCAGAGCCAGCTCAGATGCTCTCCCCGCTTCTCCCGCGCCAGCACCTCCGCAAAGAAGGAGAAGACTATGGGAACCGCCCCTCCGATCCTGCAGGGCACACAGAGCGGGCCACCAACATCATCAGCCCAAACATGCCTGTTCCAGCACCCATCTGAACACTCCAGTGATTGTGTACAGAGATCAGGGCAGCAGAGCATCAAGCACAGAAAAACAGAATAGAAATAAGGAATAATGGTGGCCTGAGCATTGAGTGTTTTGTATTTAAGCTATATGAATGTTTATAAAATGTAATTGTAATCATAGTTCAACCCACCAAGTATGCAGGCCGGTGGTTGTTGCTATTTGCCCAAAACAAATTGCTCAGTACATCTGAAATTAAGCTAATCGAATATGCATTGAAATAAAAAACTAATATATATTGGTATATTATCAAAATATTTTTTATCAAACAGAGGAATTCTGGGGCAGCATGGTGGTGCAGTGATTAGCACTGTTGCCTCACACCTCTGAGACTCTCTACTTCTTAGTTAAGGGCAACTGGAAATATCAGTATGTCTCAGTCAAAGGGGGTAATAACTGAAACTCAGATAAGCAAATTAACAAGCTGCATATTTTTTGTTGGTAATTTGTTTCTGTCAAGGCTAATTTCCATTATTGCTAAAAGAATTGTTGCATGAGTCCATTAGCAAATGACATAAATAAAAAAGTAAGAAACAGCAAAATCAGACAAATGTATATTGTTCATTGTTAAAGACAAGCAACAAGGCCATTAGTCTGCATACATCAAGCCATCCAGCCAGCTTAGATTAAATCTGAGATGATCAAGTGGAGCCTCCAGATAGAGAGGAAACCAGAAATGGATCCAATCATCTGCCTGAAGCTTCAATGGTGTCACTGAACACAAACTCTTTGAAATTGTATGGTGTCAGTGCTTCCTAAAACCTACAATTTTGCCTAAAATTCACTTAGTTTGTAAAAGTGCCGAAATTGAATATCTGGCATGTCTGGTGTTCATTAGGAGAAACGCCAACTCCAAATCAAACAAGCTCTATCTCTGGATGATTGGCAAACCCTATCAATAGCTCTCCCGCCTGCAGGAGTGATCTGTTAATGCTCTCCTGGCCATTGTGGTGGAAGCTGGTTCTGGGGCAGCTTCAGACCAATGCAATCATGAGCATAAATATAAGCCATCTGTGCACTTTCTACGGTCTCTTCTCATTTTTAACATTCTTCTTTTGCCAGAACAAATTTATGATTTTTGGAAGCATAGAATTAATCACATGAAATGCTGTTGATTAAAAGCACTAACCACCTTTTATGGATGCAAGCATCATGACAGATGTACCCTCTATGCTGCACCAGTGGTGTCCCATTACAGCTGAGCCAACAAAGGTTTAGCTGAGGTTTAGTTGATGTGGGGATTGTAAATGGTAGAATTTAGCATAAACGTAGATGTGTGTTTGCTCTGCGATGGACTGTGGTACTCTGGTTATCACTTTTCATTTTCCCTCTGATTTAATGAACTTTGAAGACTTTTCCTTGGAGAGAACTAACTGGCTGCTTGCAGATCAATAGCCATTATCTTTATTCAAGCAGTGCGATGCATTTGTGAATTACGACGTTAAATTAGAACTATTCTTCATTCTGGGTAAACAGGAAGATACAGAAGCTGAATTTGTTGCATTTTTAGTAATTGAACTATAAAGCATTTATCTTGCATTCGAAAGATAAAATATGGTGTCTGTTATTTATGGAAAAGCTCAACCTTCAGTATATATGTGTGTGTATAAGTATATGCATATGTATGTATCTATGTATATGGAAATTGCTATGCAATAATGAGCTGAGCTGATGTGCTTGCTGAGTGCCAAAAGTAAAAGGCTTTGCCGTCCCATTGCCACACATTCATGCGACTTTACAGTAACTGGGGGCACTCACCCAAACCCTGCAAGCAGGCGGCAGAAGAGGAAAAGGCCATAGCCCTGAACGAAGGAGGACAAAAAGGCGAAGAAGCCATTGATAGACAGGCAAATGAGGAGGCACTGCCGGCGACCCGCTTTGTCCGACATGCCCCCCCAGAAGAAGGCCCCCAACATCATGCCCAGGTACACCATGCTGCCTGGGAAAGGGAAGGAGGGAGGAAAGCCACAAGAGTCAGGAAGCATGCGAAAAAAGAGCAATGTCCTTATGAGTATTTTATACATGGCAATATCAAACAGTCCACTTTCATTTTATATAGTGCTATTTTACAACAGTGTGGAGATTTTTGAAGGTAGGCCCGCAAAACAGGAAGAGCGACCATGAGAAAATATGGTCAGAGATCCAGATATCTGAAGCTGTGATATAGTAACTCCTGAAACGCCGCGATGCATGTCAAGATATGATTACACAGTAAGAATGAAGCTGCGTAAGACACACACAGGGACTGCATGTAGGCGAAATACCCCGTCAGTTACTGAGCAATCCAGAAAGTAAAAGCAGCAGCGCCATGGCATTCTGGGAACACTTTGGTGAATTTGCAACAATGCCATGTATATTTACAGCAGACACACGCCCCCCCCCTCAATCGGCCAGGAGGTTAAAAAGCTACAGCAGTGTAATCCATAACATAAATTAATACTCTGTCGTGTTTCACCACTCTATCCATCCATCCAACAACTTATCCTCACATCAGCACTGGGCACAGGGGTGGCTTACACCCTGGATGGGATAGAGGTCCATTGGAGTGCACACACCCTCCGTAGTCATACATTGCAGCCTTTTAGGAAACACCAGTTAGCCTAAATGCGTTTTCCATGGGCTGAGGAAGGAAACCCATAAAATTCAACTTCCATCCACAAATATAGATCGGCTTGCTGGAGAGCAGAAATGAACAGGGGACTTCCTGAAATGGGTCACTACATATGAAGCCCAAAAGCACTGCTGCTACTCACATTCCTAAACTGAGACACGGCAAAAAGAGAGCAAATGTGCACTAGAGATGAGCTTCATGTGTTGGTTCATTGTAGGGATGCAACAAGTCATTGATTATAATTTATACATCGATTCTTAAGGCCACAATATGATTTAAGAAACTGAATTAACAAATATCAATTCTTATCATAAAAGCATGACGATATGCCAAAACAAAAAATTGTGAAAGTCGCTCACACAAAGCAATCCAAGACTCATCTTAGTAGACTGTAGAGACTGTTACAGTACATTTAATGTGGTTTTACTATGTTTCTATGTTTTCAGAAAGTACTGTATGCTATACAGATTTATTTTTGTTGTTAAACTACACATACATGACAATGTTTCTTATACAAACATTGTTTGTGTTTTTGTTGCGTATTGTCTTTTTTCAACATTTTCTGTTGTTAATAGGAAAAATTAAACATCTATTGTTAAGTGTTTTTAAATTCTAATAAATTCTACTAAAACCAGGGTATGTTTCCATATATTGAGAATATTGATCATGTATAACTGAATCGAACCAAATATCGTATCGCATCAATATTTCAAATATCGCCGGATATCGAATTGCTGCCTTGCAAAGTCGAAACTGAATCTTTTCCTGCCAAACCTTGGGATTTACAGCCCCAGCTCACTGTTCGTGTTTGTTTCTTGCAGGAAGGTAGCTAAGTGTTTGCTTGATGCCTCATCTGAGCCTGATCAGCTTTGGTTGCCACTGAGGGGAGAATGTATGATGCCATGAAGACTCAGAAGGTCTGAAGACTCCTGAGCGCGTGACTGCTGACGTATCCCACAACCCCCCTGGGAAATGCAGTGGCTTGTCAATGAAGAACTGCAATGGCACTGAACTGAGGCAGCTCTTGCAGGCTCTGCAATTCATTATCCATGACATGTGCAGTGGTAGGAGCTCAGTGCGGCAGCAAGACCCGGCCAGCCGAGAAGCAGTCTTGCCGCTTAATTGCTCTCGAATTCTGATGTTGTTAAGACTGTAGAAATGCAGTAAAAGCCATATTTTCCACAACTGGCAAACCCGTTTGATAAATACCAATAATAATAAAGCACAGAAAGGGAAGCTGACTATTTTTTAATGTCATTAATTTTCTGAAAGACTGGAAATACAAATTACAAAACACATAGGCTGACATTTGAACTAAGGCTGTAATTGATCTTTTGTTTATAATGAATTCACAGACCCAAGAAAAGCTATCAGCCTTCTTATTACCGCTATAAAACCTGAAACACATTTTTTTTTCAAAAGCTGAATGCGACATTCCCCCAGAGTATCATCTCGATATACAGCTATTGTAGAACAACATGCTATCCTCTCCTTGCAATAATTAAGTGTTGAATTTTTAACCCCATGAACTTAAGGTTTTAGATTATCCACGTCAAAATTTGTAGCAGGAATAAATAATATTGGTCAGTGCTTCCAGTTGAGGAGTATTGCCATTCCACAAACACAGACAATGGCACCCTAAACATTATTCAGAAAGAGAGAACGACTAAAGTAGCTCCCTCTCAGCTGGAGGTGACTCTAATCCTGTAACAAGAGTTTTAAAAAGGGAAACTCCATGATCAGGCACCTGATAATATCTGAATGATATTTTAAATATTGTGTATGGATATTCTGATATTGTTATGGATATTCTGGATATTGTTGCACAAATACTGCATAGTGAATGCAAACCACTTTTACCTTAATTTATCTTTACAATCACCTGCTAAATCCCATTTTATTAAATAGAGCCTAGCAACCTGCCAACAGCCAGGATACCCAGGTGATGTCACAAGATGGAGGAAATTGATTCATTTGTTTAATGCTGATCTAATGCAGTCCTGGCTGTCTTGGGTATGAAACTAAAATATACTGCTGGCAGTCTGCAGCAGAGCTTGTCACAAACAGGACAAGATTTACATGTCTTGTGACGAATAGTTAACAGTCTACTCTTTCTTGTAAAAAGGAAGTCTCTGCAGAAAACTCCCACAGAAATTAATAGGACCAGCAGCTGATTAATTACACCAGCCTGATATAACAGAATTATAGTGCACTCATTTTTACACTGAATACTTGAACAGATACATAGAGGTAGTCCACTAATGAGTGCACATATCATCGTTTGTCATCAATATACAGTGTAAATTTGTTGTTCTCTTTTTATAAAGATATTTATAATTGCTTTATTCACAACTGAACAATAATGTGTTCACCATGTTCTTAGTTAATGTGTGACAATCCAGAACAGTCAATGATATCCTTGCCTTAACTTTCTCCACAGAGTATATGAATATATGTTAAATTGCTTTTTTAAGTCCATATGACAAAGGATTCAAAAACAGCAAAAGAAAAATGTACGACAGAGCTTAATGTATGAACTGTAACCCAGTTCTTAAGGTAATGGCCTTGATTGCCCCCTTGCCCTGCGTCTAAGGAGTATAAATGGTTTCCCTGTCTGTCTTCAAGTTTCCTTGACTATACTGGTTTCCTCCCATGGTTCAAAGATGTCCGCTGTAGGTTTCTCTGTTATATCCCCACTGTATGATTCTTTGTGCCATTTATTAGACCTGTGTCCTGTCCAGAATTAGCTTTTTGTTTTCTACCCCGTATTATGGAATACAGTGCTCTACCAATCCATCAAAAAGATTCAAGGGATTCTGCTGAAAACAGAACATCTTCACCAGACTTGTAGATTCATACCATGTTCGAAACCCACCTAAATAAAGCCAGGAAAGTGTTCAATTGGGAACAAAATAGCCAAAATAACCGAAAAAAATGATAGTCAAATGGAGCCTGTTATTATCCGACAATAAGCGTGTCAAATACGTTGGTGATGTTGCGACAAGTTGTGCCAACAGACCCCACGCTGTGCTGACAAATCATTCGCTTTTGCTCAATAAAATCTCTGGAATCCAGAATTTTTCCCTACTGCACATGGCAAGTGTCTTTTGGTGACCAGTTCTGGTTTGCTTTGTTTCTCCTCACTCAGCTTGTTAAATTATCACAAATATAAGACACTCTATGAGAGAGTATGAATGCAAGGAAGAAAGTGATTATGATTGGTTCAGAGAATACGTCCAGATCTCATGCAAAAACGGTGGTGGCAAGCTTTGCACTGATTTTTAACATGTACTAGATAATAGTGAAAAGGAACAATCATTAAAATTGTTTCTCTATGACAGAATAAAACTGTTTTAACTTACTGATGATCTCAACTAGGCTTCAGCAGTATGACAGAGAGGGGTGGGGTTACATTTTGTTGCCAAGATTCAAAATACAGAAATAAGGTTTCTTTTGAATGTACGGTCAAAAAACCATGTCATCTATGGGCGGTACGAATAATTAGATACCGCCCAAGCCTAATCTTGGTGCAGCTGACTATCACAGTCCTTGTGATGTGACATTTGAATGTGCATATCAAGATCTGCATGTCTGCTATAGAGGTTCTGGTTAGTTGATCACTATCACTTGGTCTACTGTAGTGCTTAAGGACACGTGCTTTTAAGACTAGAAGCATGTGTGTGTGTGTTTGTTCAGATATAATTGCTAAATATACCCTGTGTTGTAAAAAGTGAAAAAAAAAATAGTAATATAATTAGCAGTCTTCTCATGCAGCAGCTATAAGCAGCGACTTCCCAAAAGCTGACTTTGTGTGTAATTTGCATTGTAAAATCTGGTCATTGAAAGTAATGCCAGGGATGGGGATCCTTACAGATGGGGAACAGCATTTATTATTGAAAGCTTACATCAGCCAGGGAGATTGAGCTGGACAGAGTGCAGATGATGAAGCTGAAAGAGAGGGAGGGAGATGCCAAAAGAGAGAGAGAGGGAAGAAGCCCTGGGGGTGTGCAGTGTCAGATCCAATGAAAGGTCCCCAGATACCAGAAGTCATTCAGCTGCACCATGGACTCCATTTAATTTGACTTCTTTTTCGCTTTGATGTCTTTTCCCCTGGAGGGGAAGGTTGGGCACGTCAGCTGCAATTACACCAGCTCTTCTTTATTTACGTCACCTGTGCCCGCAGTTAAAACGCAGAAATGTAAAAATGCACCTGTTTTGTGATGCAGAGTCATTTTCTGTAGTGGGGGTTGCTGTTCTTTTCGCCTTGTTCCTTTCAGCTGGGTTGCCATGTAATTAGATTTGTTCTTTTTTTTATGTCCCATTTCTACACTCTGTTCACAAACAAACTTTTTACAGACTCGGCAAGGAATATGGTGTACTGCAGCCCAGGAATTTATTTTTTAAGTGCATAACTAAACTATTAACTTTTTACCTTAGCTATTCCCAAAACATAATAGATTTTCCACTGAAGATACAGCCAAAGAAAGCTGAATGCAATTTAAACATAGATAGGGTCCAATACGATCTGTAACATGCATCAGCTGGGGCTGGAAGTATATCTTTTGCTTGCCCTTGCGTTATCTGGTGCAGTAATTGGGCTGTAATCTCTGTGAGTGTGATTGGCTTGCAGTTTACCCATGGTTAGCTCCTCTGAGCCATCCAAATCGTATCTACAAGATGCCTTCAAGCAGAGTGGATTAAAAGTAGAATATAGCAGATATCTGATGCAGCATCTGCTGACAAAGAGGAGGCCATATCTGGACCTGCTTCCCATTACAGGATGTGTCATGTGATCCTGTGGTCAGCTTGACCGGACATGGGATTATACCAATATAACACAACTATATTCTTCCATCTTCATATTCCACTAGTGTCATCAGTGCAAAGCAACGAAGAATTCACAAGTGAAGCACTTCTTGGAGAACAGGCTGTTGCACTTCGGAGTTTACTCTATTAAGTTAACATGGTTATAAAATACAACACAGTGAGGATATGAAAAAACAATCAAAACCAATGATTCGCCAGCAAAGTTCTTTTTGTAACATATTTTCAGTTTAGCTACCTCTGAATTGACCATAGCACAGACAGTGCCAGTTATCAAAATGAAAAATTTCCAATACAGTGCTCCAAAGGTTGAGATCACGTGAGTTGATATTGAGTGCTTCTCATTTTGTCACTGTAGCGACTTTGAACAATTGCTGATTATAGACAGGATTCATCTGAGTACTACCCATTACACAGCAGTTTTTAAAGTTACTACTTTCTGCAAAAAGCATAATAGCCACATCTGAGACTTATACAACTGTCCAGCTTGCTTTTGTATAATTTGCTGCAACCAATAGGCCTATGCCTTTCCAAAATCTATATTTTATATAGAAATCTATATAAAAGAAAATTTCAAAACAACTCAACCAAGGTTGGTTCTCTTAACGCAACTGTACCCAGAAACACTGTGGCAGTGAAACATACCTGGCATTGTTGGGAGTTATTATAGAAATCCCAAAGCAGCTCTCTATTACTCATCCTAGTTTCCAACAAGCTTGAAAAATGGTGCTTGTGAATTGTTGCATATTTTTCTGTGTAATTCATGATAGTCTTAAAATAAGTAGTAAATCCAGTAGTAGTAATAATTCTCAGTCAGTATATCCCTTCTAGGGGGAATTGTGGTTCTGTGGGGTGTACTGTTGCCTTACAACTCTATAGTTGTGGGTTCCACCTCTGCTCTGTCTGTATGGAGATACCCCAGTGAGTTACCCCAGTGTTTGGTGGATGTCCTCCTGCTGTCCAGAGATGTGCAGTTAGATTAACTGCTGTCGCTAAATTGACTATACAGCTCTGGAAAAAATTAAGAGACCACTCAATGTTTTTTAAATATCTGCATCCATAAATCCTGGTTCAATTCTTGTTCTACTGGCAGAAAGCTACACTGCAAGGCAGGCTGCTTCCAGGCTAAAAAAATTATGAAGAGAGCAATGCCCAAGAGCAAGGTGAAGCATTGGTGAGAACCAAAAACCAGCCGGACAGAGGGCAGAAGCAACTTTCTAATGCCAGAGATGGCCATCAACTTATCCAGCATAAATTGGAGGATGACCTCAAGTGACCTTCAAAAAGAACTAGAGACATTAAGCATAGCATGCTAGGACAGTTCGTATCAGGCTCCTAGAAGCAGGACTGAAGACCGATAAAGCAAGGAAGAAGCCCTTCATTAATGAGGATATATGGGTGCAGAAGTGCTGTGAATTTGACTGGCATCCCATCCAGGACATTCCCCAACTCTGTGTCCTATTCTGCCTTTGTAAAAATCTGGTGCAATTACAATGTGTCTATAATATGGGATATGTGATCCACTTGCTACCTGTATTTGTGGTCTTATGGTTTAATAGCATGTTTAACTTTAGCTAAAGTAACAAGAAGCACATTCTATAAATAAAAATCTTGTAACATTCTTGTTTCATGATTAGACTATATTTTCTCCTTATTCAGCATCCTTACCCATAAAAATATATAGAAGTGTCAAACCTGAATATTAAGAATAGGCACATAAAATATTTTTTTCCTGCAAACTAGCTTGGCTTTTCAGTATTTCTATTCATTTACTATAACCACTAATCTAATGCAGTCATAGTGAGTCTGGAGCCAATTGAAGGAAGTGCAGAGCACAAACACCCAGGTATCTCCAGGATGTCCCTCACTGATGACACTGTGCAGGCAGTGGTGGCTTGATGGTTAGGGAAGCGCACTTGTAATTACCACTGAGGTACCCTGAGCAAGGTATCGCCCCCAAGCACTGCTCCCCGGGTGCTGAATTAGCTGCCCCCTGCTATGTCACAAAAGTCACATATGGGTTAAATGCAGAGGACACATTTTGTTGTTGCGCACTGTGTGCTGTGGTGTGTTAACAATGACCACTGATCACCAAATTCTAATTCTAATCATCTTCAGCCACCTCAGTCAGAAGGGTAACTTTTACCATGAGCAACTAGAATACAGGTATGTCTATAAATGATGCAGTTCTGCAAGGGGAAAGTACTGTACAGTGCTATCAATATAACATAAAATAAGGCACTAACAGTTTATTTCTAATAAAGTGATTATCAGTATTTTTTCCCCCAGCCAGTTCTGCTAAATCTCACGTTCACTAAAATTGCGTCTTAAGTCTGATGCATGGCTGGAGACACCAAAGGAAATGCCAGCGTTCATGTACTGGCACTGCTAGCTACAAGTTAACTTTAGGACTAATTGCATCATCATTAAATAATCATAGTAAAGGACATCCGGCTCCCTATTTGTCAGCCTTGCAGTGATGCATTTTGTAACTAAATAGAACATCACTAGCACACTGGGACAGTAACTCAGTGGTTGGCACTGTAGGGTCAGTTTTGGGTTTCCTCCTGCAGCCTCCAAACATATAGTTAGGTGACTTTGTATTTCTTAAATTCCCTACCTAGGCTGCAGGCTCACCACAAAATTATACTTAATGGCACATATTGAAGTTGGATGGGTGGGTATTACCACATTTGAAGAATACTTAATGCGGTATAATCTGCTGTTTAAGTCATAAAGTATCTGACAAACATAATATTATTTGAAACGACCTCAACATAACTTTAAAATAGTGACTCAGTTTATACTTTATCTCACAGGATCTAAAAATATGGCTACACCATTAAGAAATAATGTTTAAGATAACACACAGGAGCTTGGATTGTTTAAGAGACCGGAAAGTATGCTCTCACTTAATAAATGACAATCATTGAAAGCTCTGTGACGGACATCGTTCTAATGAACGTGTTCCTCTGTGGTGCCGCGAGAGAATGACGACGTGAGGAGACAGAGCAGGGTCTTACCCAGCCAGCCAGCCCCTGAGTTGGGCACACACATGTCTGTCTCGGCGCTGGGCAGCACGAAGCCGACCACAAAGACCTCCACGCCGTCCGACATGAGTGCTATGCCCAGCACGAAGAAGAGCTGCCACTGGAAGCTGCCGTGACCACACTCCTGGATGATGAGCTCGTACTGCTGCGCCAGCTCCTCCTCGTCGGCCCGGCGCTCCGACTCCAGCTCGCTGCGCTCCTTCGCGCTGTCCGACACCGGCTGCCCCATGGCCATCTGCTTCTCCTGAGCCTGACATCCCTCTGGGATGCCCTGGTATTCCCCCTCATACATCTCGTCCTCCTCATCGTGGCCCTCAGTGGCGTCACTGGAGCCCTCTTCTTCATCACCCCCATGGTCGTCCTCCGGCCTATAATAGTAATACTTGTCACCCTCTTCTTCCTCTTCATCCTGGAAGCGGCTATAGGAGCGCTGAGAGTACTCGTCTGAGGCCCGGTCCACAACCTGGGTCACCTTCTTCACTGCATGCCGCTTGGCCTCCTTAGCAATGTCCTTAGCACCTTTGGCCAGTGACGTCCTCTCCCTGTGGGCATTGTCCATTTTGCCAAGGGCGGTGAGCCAACCTAAAAATTACTGGGCAATACGGAGGGCTCTGCTGGAGGGCTCAGGGCACAGGAGGGTCTGCTCAGATCTGAGGGAGACGGAACAGAAATGCCATAACTGCATGGCAAAGTCTTACAGGCACTGCTCACCGTTAGTAAAGAGAGAAAACCTCAAAGTAATGCAAACTGCAAATAATGACAGTGACCTTACATTTCACAGGCTGCCGATTTTCCTAAAAATATGTTTATGAAATAGATCAAGAGCATTGAATCTGTCATACTTATGAGATCTTCACCACTACCACTGATGCTTTGGTCTCATGTTTGATACCACAATGATGCCATTATGGACATTATTTAGTTTTTGCCCAGTCTTACATAGCATCGGATATGTTCTCGGGATTGTGATAAAGACAAGGATTCCTAATACATGTCACACAACATAAAAGCATTAGCACACATACAAATATAATAGAATTATACTGTTTATTTACCCTAAATTCTAAAAATAGATATTTAGATGAGTTTATAATTAATTGATCTGGTAACCTTAATTCTTTTGTTTCTGATGTCTGTAGGCAAAGAATTAATTTAGATGAAATATTTATTTTAGATTATTTAATTTTGATTAAATATTTTCATTTTTGAGCATGTCACTTTGCTTTAAAATAGGAAATGGACAAAGATGCATGTGCATCACTTGTACTCCAACAATGTTTGAATGCAAGTTACTGTATACTGTAGGGCAAGGATTCTCAACCTTTCCAGCCACAAGACCTGGCTGTTGAATTGACCATTAGTAGTTGGCGGGTCCCCTTCTATACTTTTTCAGCAACTGGGGGGTTTCTCCTCAGTACATTGCTTGAGAAACCCCGTTGAACAGCACCTAATGAAGAGCGATACTAATGCCTGGAGATGGAAGGATTTATGGGAGTAGAAATGTAAAAAAAACTGCTTCCCTGATTTCCAGATTTTTCCTCCAAACCATGTTTAGCCTACTTTGGGTGGTGCCTCCTAACATAACAGGCTACATGTTCTAAAATATGCGGAATATCTCCATGGAAAACCTGGCCCTTTGTGTTGGCAAACAGAGCCTCAGGACGTGGCAGTTGGCGGCTGATTTATTGGTGGCCTGGGGACAAAACGGACAGGTGAACTGAGCAACATACAAAACAACCATTTGGTTTCCTAACTTAAACAAGCCAACACATAAAGCCATGAGGCCTGGGCCATTGGTTCTGTGGCCTGTACTACGAAGCGGGGTTACTGGCTTATCGGGGTAACTTGTTGGATTTAAGGTAGTCTGGGCAAAATGTACAGTAAGTGAGCGAATATGAAGTCCATTTAAACTGTGGTACCTTAAATCCGACAAGTTACACCGATAAGCCAGTAACCCCGCTTCGTAGTACAGGCCACAGGTCTCTCTCCTCTCAGCCAACTTGCCTTTTACTCTTAACAGTGTTACTTCATGGTTGGCAGTGTTGAACCTCACCCCACCCCTGTAACATCCATTTCTTCCCCCTGTTGTAGATTTAAAAACATAGTAATGTAGTAATGTTATTTTCTTAATAATAATAATAATAATAATAATAATAATAATATTGTTGTTGTTGTTGTTGCTTTTTTTGTCGTTGCAGAAATAACAAAACTCTGTGAATTTCTGTGATGAGCAGGCCCTTACCTTATCAGGTAATTGCAGTATGTTTGTACCCCAATATTAAGAAAATGCCTTTTGTACAAAACAAATTGGGTAATTTAAACACAGTAGACGGGCCACTGAAGCTGAAATGACTGCAAAAGCTGTTATGTGAGAATCTAAGCGAAAAGAATTGAAATGAAAATCATGTAACCCCAGGATCAGGCGCAGACTGCAGGTTCTAGTCACCCCCACAATGGCTACACCCCCCACAATGGCTACACCCCCCACGATGGATACACCCCCCACGATGGCTACACCCCCATGTTACAAACAGGGCTGGATCTAAGGTGATCTGTAGCCAGAAATAAATCTTGGTGCGGGCGAAGGGGGTGGGGGTCCCCTCGGCAGATTTTATGAAACTCGTGGGGGGGCGGTTTGGTATCCACGCCTATGCCTAGATCTGGCCCTCCACCAGCAATCCTGAAAAAACGCTCTGTCATTCTTATTACCAGGCTGTTCCATGCAATGCTATTCTCAAGTTCTTAATTGCCAACCATCACCTCACCTATTTCCATATAACACTCAGACCTCATTTTAAAATGTCTTAAAAATATCCAGGGATTGACATTAACTGGTACGCAAATAAACACTCACTGTATAAAGAAGCGATTCCTTGTCATAACAGAGCAAATGCATACTTATTTTTCAAAGCGATCCCAACATAGCAGATGAGGACTGTAATCAGTTACAGTTAAGTGTCAGCAGGAATGTTTCGTAGCATTTAAAAAAGTAACGACAGACTGTCAGAATCTTGTTGTCTAAAAGTGACTGCAGTTCCTCAAATGTGATGCCCAGTACTACACACAGGTACTGATGTGGCCCTTTGGGTGTGAATGGGTACACTGAGGCGCTGTCATGCTCACAAACTGCCTCTTTTCCTCCTAGCTGAGTAGAGGTTCCCTATCTGTCTGTCAGTGTGCAAGCCAAGCATGGCTGATACCTCCTGCTGTCAAAAGTGGTGAGCTTCACTTAGGCAAATAGCTCAGAGAATGGATAGGGTCAGCATACCTGTCTGGGACTGGGGGAGGGGGGGCAAGTGCAAAACATGCAGACCTTCAAAACTGGAGAAAAAAGTCATTTATGGAAAACAAACTTTTTTGTCATCACAGAAGACAGTTGATTCCAATGCTGTTCTAGAATAACTTTGATCTCAGGAAAGCCCAGACTGCCTTAAATCCAACAAGTAATCCGGCTAAGCATGAACTCCTGCCTCGTGGCACACTCCCCAGGCTACATGCCTCTGCTCTGTGTGTGTGGAGCATGCAGTTAGTGTAACAGGTGCCCTGACTGATTGACTGGCATTTGTTCCAGGGTATTCCCCTGCCTTATGATCCCGGAAATAGGCTCCAGTCCCACCAGCAACTCTATCCAGGATAAGCATTTGCAAGATGGATGAATGGATGGATGTGTACACTACACTGGAGGGGAAAAAAACACTGGAAAAAGTGTTTAACTGCAGCTGCAATTTTAATTATATGGTTGTTTATGTCCTCTAGTTTTTGCATTTGGATTCATAGTTTTAATCCTGATTATGATTATGTACCACAAGTTTTTAATGACACAACTGTTCGTTAACCTCAAACGTCTTTCTAACATCCTAACTTTAAGCTTCTTGCTATATGTTTTACTGCGCTAACAGCGCATGTACCGAAGGTTTCTGCAAGAATAATGCTGAACCTAGTGATGAAAGTGGCGAGGCAATCGCTACCCCCCTCCCCCGTCTTTCATTCTTTTTATTTTATCTTGGAAGGTTTGTCTGTCCTGTATTTTACTAGTATAATTCAATTGCGCGTTATTACTGCGAATAAATGTTGCACATTAATAAAGAGCACAACAGCAGCTACCCTGCTGAGATTTTGTCCTCTAAATCACTGAGCCCAGATTCAATGCTACAGCCACTTCACTTCCTGCTGCTTTTGGCAGTCCGGGGCTAGTGCAAGGCATCCGTGTCGAACCATTCCAGGCAAAGACCATCCTCCGGCAGCAGGGAGTAGGAGGTGAATTCTTTCACCAGATGGCCATTTGAGTCCCTGTCATGGCCCGTTGGTTGCCCTGGAATTTGAGCGGTTGTCGGCCGTGGGCGGGCTGCATGCGAGTGAACGCATGCCTGTGCAGTCACCGTTTTCACTGGACGACCGCCTGAGCACCCCCTGATGAGAAGGCATACGGCTGATGGCCGTGGAGCACTGAGAGGTCAGCCGATACACGGGCACTTGTAAATCCGTGATCACTGACCAGCGAAAGCCGCTCCCTCGCATGACTTTGCTGACTGGAGACTGTCAATTGGAATTAATGTTCTATCTGTTTCTATTGCATGAAAACGAATTCATTTTTAATTTACCCCAAGTCATACCTGTAAGTGAAGGGTGTGATACAGGTTAGACATAGCACTTGTAATATGCATATGTAAATGGTGAAAGGGCAGCAGAAAATGGCCATGTTTATACAGTGGTACCTCAGTTCTCAAACTCATTAGAACTCGAATTTCTTAAAAGTCGAACCAACAAGTTCAGAAAAAAAATTACCTAGAACTGGATCTGAATTTCAGAAGTCAAACCGTGAACGCCGACCTAAGATAACTTGTACACGCGGGGAAATGAGTCACGCCGCACGTCTCTCAGCAAACAAAGGGTAAAGCTTCAGTCTCAGCCTCGCATTTGCTGTGATAGTGCATGTTTACACTAGCTGAATACATATATTTAGATAGTAAAAATACATTTAGACAATGATAAACAATAACAGTAATTATTATATAATAAAATACATTTTAAAATAAAGATTTCTTATTAAGTATTTTAATATTAATAATAAACCATTAATACATTTAATTATAATAATATTGTCGTGCGGAGCGGGACGGAATGGAGACAAAGGCGCAGACGTCAGGGTATCGGAGAATACTGGGTTTAATTACAGGTAAGGCAGGCAAAACGCAGACGGACAATACAATGACTGGACTGGGGAAACAAACTGAAACGCGAACTAAATACAGAGGACTAATGACAACAACCAGAATCAGCTGATCACACGGGGATTCCACACGGGGTTAACGAGGGGGTGTGGCACACGGTAGGAGCGGACAATCGGGGCAGGACACATCATTTTTTTTTTACTTTACACATTGTTTGGATACATTTATTTTCTTTCTTTACAAATTACTGTTTTGATAAATGTGCTTAGATGTGTTTAGTACATTATATGCTCTTCTTGTTTTATCGGGTTCATTTTGTGTTTAAATGCTAAAAAAAAAACATATTTAGGTGTATTTTTTTGGGGCCAGGAACCAATTAATTGGTTTTCCATTATTTCTTATGGGGAAAATTCGATCACAACTCGAACTTTTTAGGATTTGATCCGGAGTTCTGAACGGATTAAATTCGAGTTCTGAGGTACCACTGTACTTCATAAAGGTTCTGATTGAGCCTGATTTTGCAATATAGGTTCAAAAGGTGCAGGCTAAGACCATGATAAAAAGCATTTCTGAATTACCAAATTGTTTTCTCACCGAAATAATATGATTTTATTTAAGAATTATAACCAGGTAGTTGGCAAAGAACATGAATCAATGGGATATGGATATAAAAGTAAAGCCTTTATGTGGCATTTAATGAATGTACGTTCTCATTGCTGTCCTTTTGCCATTAAGTCATTGCCAGAATGTCCAATCAGACGGATTATCTGCAGTTATGGCCCCTGCACCTAAATGACATCATCTGTGAAGGGAGGAGGGAATCTTTTTATCAATATTTTATCAGTTGCTGATGCAATTAGCAAGACAGGACTCAGTGGTGGCTGGGAATGGAAGCTCAGAAGCACAGGAATGTCTTATTAAATCTTTACTCTGATCTGCTCTACTTACCAGTTGGAAGAAGCATCACTTGATCTCGGTATTTAAAGGAATAAACAAGTGACCTATAGCTGTATAGTTCAATGAAAATTGTATTGTTCAATTGGGAAGTTTCTGTACTCACTGTATTTATGATGATGACTCACTAATTTCATAATAATGGCATGAAATGTGAGATACTGCAGCACAACCTCAGTACTGTTTTCAATTTCAGCTCAAATTGTAATTCTGTTGGGGACATGAGACAAACTGTATACATATATATATATATATGTGCCCAGTTAACCATAGTACACCATTTGTGGGCAAAACATACATCTTAATTTCATTATTTATACAGTATATGCCCAATACACCACTCACTGAAGGTGAAACCTCATGAGGCTCTGAATAAGAGGTCAGATTTACTACAATAGAGCTTAAGAGCCAGTTTCCCACTAATCAAGGAAGGCATTTAAGTTGAGTGCCTGATTTACCTCTGGGACATCAATCTAAATGTCTTACTATCCAATTAATGAACTCACTAGTGTGTTTTTTTATGTCTTGTACACAAAAATATAGAAGCTTAATGCTGCTTTCCATCCTATAAGGCGGTGCAGTGAATTATACAATGAGTACCAGATGCAGCGAATTATAAAATGAGTACCAGATGCAGCGAATTATAAAATGAGTACCAGTTTTCTTATTAATATATGCAGCGTATCACAGTGTGCTACAATACTACACATAAGAACACTTTGTGTTGAGAGAGAGGTGATGCAACAGCTTTGTACCTCCAGCACAGACATTGGGACAGAATCCATCTGGGACACCTGTGCTTTAGCGTGCCAGTAATTAAATAAGCAAGGGCTGAAAAAAAAACTAAATTACAGCATGAGCACATCTAGCACGAGCAGCTTCCGGAATCAAGCGTACAAAGGGAGCAGGTCCGGTCTAAGCAGTGGACATATGTTCATTCAAATATGTCAGCTTTTACTGCAGCAGAAGAAGTGAACACAGGATATGCACCATTTTCACATTTTCTTTGTTTGCTTGAGTTTTTTTTTTGTTGTTGTTGTTGTTGTTGTTTTGAGACATAAAAATATGACTGATTAAAAATTACAGATACCTTCTGGAAAGAACCAGCACAAATTATCTGTGACTAAAATATATTTGCAGTTTTGTGACACAAAGCTTTGCAGCCACCAGATTAAATAAAATTGCTACACGTTTACTCACAAAATCGCAAATTTGCTTATTTACATTTTTAAATCCATTGGTGTTCTGTACTTTTATAGAAACAGGATTGTGCCTAAAATGTCATTTGCATCAAAGCTGACAATTCAGGACGCAGTAAAAGCAGTGAAAAATCAAGCCCCATCCAATGATCTTTACTTCAAAACCGGTACATGGCAAATTTTCTCTGGTCCATATTTATATACAGCATTTTTTGCCAAATCAAAGCTGAATAAATGCAGCAAAAATACACGAGGCAGTCATATGCAACACCAGGGGGAGCTGCTTCAAAAAGGGGGGAAAAGCAAAGAAAGATGTGAAATGCACGCGCATGGTCCCCAACTTGGCACTATAGTCTGTTGCAAGGTCCCTGTACTATTATAATACAATTCAGCTGTAGGCTTATTTCGCAATACGGGTTACCTTGTCATAGAATGCAAAGCCCGAAGAGAAGTGAACGTTTAAATTGCAGCATTTACCTGTATATGTTTCTATAACATACACAGCGCGGCAGCAAATGTGTGACAAAAGCAAGCACCAATACCTTGGGTAGAAAGTAATTTCATTGTGTAATCAAGTATTATTTTGCGTAGATTGTCAGATCTGGGCAAGTACACAAACTTCACGAAAAATACCGATTAAAATTGAATAACGGAGACTATCGGCTTATGTAATTATATAAGGATGTGTTTTTTAGTAATCGCTGTATAATTCGCAGTTTTGTATTCTGCCACCGAATAAAGTTAGGGAAATCCCTCGTGGATCCTTGCAGAATACTTTAACAGGGGAGTACATGCTTTGACGCAGACGGGGCTTGGGTGTCTAGCACCCTGACATTATGATTCACCCAAGTCTGGCCACCGTATAGCTGTGTTACGGAGGCGTGAGTTTATACCCATATAGTCTTGTGCTCGGGTTTTTGGCACAATTCTGAGTGCTGTATTTGCCTTAGGCTCTTATCCTGTTTGGTATGTGATGCCACGACCGCGGCCCCTTACGATATATGCGGCACTGTTCGCGCTTCATTCAGCGCCGACAGTAAGATTTCACATAAAAATAAATAATAATTTAGGATCAGAAGTTGCATGAGATGCAGTTTTTGGTAGGAAACTGTCTCTTTTGGTACAATATTTGGAAAACAATTGCAGTAGATAAAGCTGAGTTCCAAATATGATCTGGTACCACTTCAAATAAAACTATTGGAATATGTCAGTCATAACTTTTATATAGATTTGAATCATCCCGCCGTAAGGTTTCTAGTTGTTTATTTAGTTCAAAAGAAATTTGATAGTATTTAGTTGTAAATATATATAGCCTAATGATATCTCAATATCGCTGGATAATTAAGAAAGTGACTCTTGTTCATTGTAGAAGCTTTCCTTATATAAGTTAATTTCTGTTTCACTTTCATCTTAATTCGTCGATGGTCAGCGTTTTCTCTCCGATGATGAATCCAGTAATACAGTATTCAGAGGTAAAACAATGTTAAGGATCAACGTGTTAAGCACGAAATATCTGCAGAGAAATTGAATACTTCCATTTTATTTTAACAAAATAAGCACTTACCTATTAGTAGAACGACGCTGGGAAATTATAGGAATATGCTCTCATAGCAAGAATTAATATTTGTATCTATAGGTTTGTATCCTATAGGAAAATATTTGATGGTATCCCACTGGGGTGTAAAAAGAACTGATACAGTAACAGGAGATTTTTACGGTGCTGTTGTGGCTCTGCAGTACTTCAGGGAAAAATGCAATGAATACCAGCAAGCGAGAGAGAGAGAGAGAGAGAGGGCGAAAGTGAGAATTACGCTGTATGAAGCAGAGTGGGTATTCCCTTCTGATAGGGCTAATACTGGCGCGGACGCAATTCCTACAATAAATGAAAAATTTACAAAATGGTTCACATGCATGAAAGGATCATTTTTATTGGCGATTGATATGGATTTGATGTATCTGACACGTACAGATAGTATTTTATAACAGAGTACAGTGATATCATGCGCGCTCCAGTAGCTCCCCTAACGGGCTATTATTGTCGGGGATTGCAGTGGGATCCCGTGGTGCAGAAAAGAGCCGCAGAATCCTGTCTATACATCATTTATACGGAACTTGCTGGTTTCACACGGGCACTTAGTTACTGAAACCCGCAAAATTGATAGAACTAAGCTTCATTACCACAGGTATATACATTTATGTATATTTGCGTAGAATTTCCGTGAAAAAGATGAGCGTAATGGATGGATGGATGATGGAATACAGAATTATATCTGAATATTTGGTTAAAGAAACTGATACAATAAGGGGAAATATGTGAATATAATACTTAAATCTATCATTTATGATTAAAAATAAACTTTTAAAATGATGAAAAATTAGTATATTAATATGATCTATTATTATGATTGTTAGTTTGGTGCCGTATGCCGTGTTTTCGGCGTGAATCATAATCGTAATGCCATATGTAGGAATGTTGTCCGGATAGTTATTTTGATTGACGGTAACGTTTAGGTGCCGAGGAAATGGGGATGGAGACTATAGGCCACGCCCATTCCAGCAGTGAATTTTTTCAGAATTGCAAATCGCACACAAAGACAGGCAAGAATACAGTATATATCTTATGGCAATTTACTGTTACAAACATAAGTCTATTTTTAATTTACATTTTATATGTAAACTATAATGCTAGGAAAACAACGTAACATGAATAATTTTCTCCTGCGTTGTTCCTTGTATTTCCGTAGTAGGGCATATATAGTCTGACGTTGGCATGAATATTGTTCAGTTGTTATGTTATCATTAAACCTAAAGTATTTTTGCTTTACAATCACTACCTCATAATATAACTTTGGTGAGCGCTCTTTGATATTAATACGCTTTTCATGATGGTGTTACAGTAGTATAGGCTGTAGCATGACAGACCATGTTTTAGGTCTTGTTTCAATATGCTATTGTTAGAAATACAAATTTTATGTGCAAGTAAATATTTATCTTCGCATATTTGCCTTTAATTACTATTCAACTGATAGCATGCACATTATGGACCTGAACCCGCTACTCAGTGCCGACAAAAGCAAAGAACTCATTGTCCTTTTTAAAAGGCACTGTGAGGCAGGGCTGGTCCTGGGTGTTCTGGCACCCTAGGCGAGATTCTGCCCCCAAAGACAACAAAATAAATAAGCCCACACATAGCCCACCTATGCAACACAAGATTCTTCTCAAACTGCTTATTTATTCAAAACACCACCAAAATATAAAGAGAAAGTTATTAAATGCAATAAATACGACAAAAAAGTGCATAATCTTTTATATAATAAATATTTATTATAATAAATAAATAATTAATATAAATATATACATCAAAGCATTGAAGCACACAGATCTCAGCTTGGCAATGTACTGTAGTGTACAGTATACGGAAGTTTAAATGTAACATTGTGCCTGTGTTTTTCAAATAATAACCTGTGGACCGACCCAGCACTCCATGCCTCCCTGAGCGTTCTGTTGCGTGACGATGTATATTAAAAACAGAAGGATTGTGTTTACCTGGGGCTTGCAGTGAAGAATTTTAAGTTGGCACATCTGACTATTAGAATTGTTGAAAAGGTTGCATTATTTGGTAGTGCTTAAAATCTTTTTGTCTTTATCCTCCAAATACTGATCATCCATAACATTAAAACCGCTTGCCGAATATTGTGTAGGTTTCCCTCATGCCAGCCAAACAGCTCTGACCCATCGAGCCATGGACTCCACAAGACCCAGGTAAACAATGCATATGCACCTGGACGTCCACATGATGTAACAGAAAATGTGACTCATATAAGACCAGGCCACCTTCTTCCACTGCTCCATGGTATAGTTCTGACACTCATGTGCCCCTTGTGGACACTTTCGGCGGTGGACAGGGGTCAGCATGCACACTCTGACCAGTCGATATCTACACAGTCCCTACACATCAAGCTGGAATGCACTGTGTGTTCTAACACCTTTCTATCATAGCCAGCATTAACGTTTTCGGCAATTTGTGCTACAGTAGCTCTCCAGTGGGATCAGCCCACACAGGCTAGCCTTCGCTCCCTACGTGGATAAGTGAGCTTTGGGAGCCCATTACACTGTCTCTGATTCTTTTCATTTAAAATAATCCAACTGACTAGCTGCAATGACAAAATACCTCGAAATTGTTTTCTTTTTTCCCCTCTCTTCTTTTCAGCATTTTCTTCCCTGCATCCCCACTTTTTTGACCATTTCATTTTCTTGCCAATTCGGTGACGGAGGTGACTGATGTTTAATGAGGGTTTTAAAGTATAAATATCTGTAATGTTGCAGAATGTAACCACAGGCATTTCTTCTATTTTTTTTCTGGGTGGCACACTACTGCCCAGAACTGGCACTGAAGGCATCGAGGACCGATTTATTTACAGCAACTTCACCATCTCTGTCATTAGGGGAGGCCCCCTGCCAGGGAATTAGGGCCTCGCTCCACCAGGTTAGGACCCCCTCACCGCCAGCTTCGCTCAGTGTCCGGGGACATCATCCTGATGCAGATACAGCTGGGGCGAGCAGGCATCTCATATGAGATCTGGTTCACTGTCATCCAGGAAGTCTGCATCATGGGCACAGACCTCGTCATCAGTCAGCCTTAGTGAGCGGGACAAGGCCCAGCTGCAGAAGCTGCTGAAGCAGTTTGCAGACATCTTCGTGGCCCAGAATGAGGATTACACCCACACTGACCTCGTCAGTCATGACATCGACACGAGTGACGCTTGCCCCATCCACCCCCACCGACTAAGACTCGCAAAGCGATCCGGGTGCCACCCCTGCAGTCCTAGTCCAGAAGAAGTACTCCTCCTGACAGTTTTACATGGACTACTGCAGGCTCAACACACTCAACAAGGTTGATTCCTCTCCCCTGCCACACATTGACGAGGCCTTGGACACCTTAGCTAGCACACGGTGGTTCAGTTTGCTGGATCTCCTCAGCGGCTACTGGGCAGTCTGTAGGCCCGGGAGACGATGGCCTTCACCTGGGAGCAGGGCCTTTGTCAGTTTCCGGTTCTCCCTTTTGGGCTCTGCAACGCCCCTCCTGACCTTCGAGAGGTTGATGGAGCAGGATCCCGATCTACTTGTCCACGTCCACATAATGCAGCAGCCAACCTGTGGCTGGTGTTTAGAGCCATCCGGTGGACGAATCTCCGGCTGAACCTGGTGAGGTCCAGCTTCCTACAGAAGGTGGTCAGGTTCATGGGTCATGCGGTCAGCGAGAGGAGCTGGGGGCCTGGCCAGTCCCATGACGGCCACAGAGCTGTGGAGCATCCTGCGCCTGGCCTCCTACTGCAGGAGGTTCGTCCGGGCCTTTGCTGGCATTGCAGCCCTTCTGCACCAGCTGGCCTGGAAGGATACCACCTTCCAGTGGGGCCACGACCAGGTAGCTGCCTTTGACCCGCTAAGGGCTGCGCCCTGTCCTGTTGTGCCTTGACTCCACCCTGCTCTACATCATAGACATGGACTCCCATAACTGCAGCACTGGGGCAGTCCTGTCTCTACAGTGACCTAATAGAGAGATGGCCATCACCTACTTCAGCCGCTGTCTTAGATCCAGGATGCAGCCAGAGCTTCTGCCGGTGGTGGCCCGTCTGTTGTGCTGGCTCTGCGGGGACAGGAAGCTAGAGTGATTGGAGCTGAGGTCACTCAGCCCCACTGAGAGGGCATACTACTCTCATTGGGACAGCCTTGCCCTCTGTGATGGCTCGCTGTATCAGTGCTGGCAGAACCCTGTGCCGGGGCAGATCATGTGGCAGCTTAGGGGGGCGGGGCTTGACTACATACAAGGGCTGCCGCTTTTGCTTAATTGTGAATCCTTAAGAAGTCCTTGTAAAAACTGCCTTTATTCTCCCCGTTATAATGCCTGGGTCTGTGAGACGTCACACAAGACCGAAGCAGAATTTTATGAGCTGTGCTCCATGTTTTGTGCTAAATACCCAGATGATCTTGCGTGCACAGAAAAAGGAACATGTAAGCAATAAACTGTATAAAAATGTTTATTTGCAGGCAATTTTAATTTATAACTTATTCATTATGCTACAAGAGTGGGGGCAACGTGGGTATTTTGGGAAAATGTACACTCATTTTTTTATTTTTAACACATGCATCAAACTTGTCAAGAATTTAACTGCTAAAAAGCATGAATAGAATAGAATGGAATAGAATAGATCTTTATTGTCACTGTTTTTAAAAAATGGTGAAACACTGCTCTAGGATTGTCAGCATAGAAAATGACAACAAATGCAGACATAAATATGAACAAACATAAATAACATAACACAGTGAAGTAGTATGTACCAAAGTAGAGGTAAGCAGCATGCAGTGATTACAGTGCGTCGCCGCAGCCGTCACATGACCAACCACCTCAGGGGTGAGAACCTGAGTGCAGCCGTGTGGCGGGTGATACCTCAGCACCACACTAGTACAAAGTATTGGTGCAAAATGATAATACTGTTAATAATCTGTTAGTTTTGGGTTAGGGTTAGGGTTAGGGTTAGTCTAACCCTAATCCTAACCCTAACCCTAAATCCACTTTCTCTTCACTGTGAGTCAAATGAAGCACTTCCCTGGCTTGTGAGAGGAGGCTGACACAATACCACACACAAACACACACGCAGACCTGTACACATACTTTGTGGGGATCGTCCGACAATGACAAACTTAACCCCTGCCCACCCCTAACCTTAACCATAAGTAACCAAACAAAACCC